TCAGCTGCTACAGAGAGGAGTTTATCAATGTTATGTCTGATTGTGATGTGTGTTTGACATGCCGTGTTTCAGTGGGTAATTCCAGAGATGGTGGGCCAGTGTCTCTCCACCATGCTGATGCTGGTCTCCATGCACTGGTTCATCCTCCTCCTCAACCTGCCTGTAGCAGCTTGGAACATTTACAGGTGTGTTTATGCTGCAGCAGCTGCCTCCTGCAGAGGCTGTGAGAGAACATGCTCCTCTGTACACTTGGTAATATGAAGTGTGAGACAGTACAAACACATCTATATATATTAATTATTATCTGTATTTGATGCAGATTACTGAGCAGTTCTGCTTTATGGTGATAGTATTATTATTGTTATTATTATTATTATTATTATTATTATTAGTCTGGTGTCTCAACTGAAGGATCAGGAAATGTAAAGCATCATGTCATATATAGGTACTGCAACATAACACACCTGTAGTCCATGTAGGTAAGAACACTGTGAGGCTCCTGGTTGGTTCACCTTCTTCTTGTCCCTGCAGGCATGTGAAGGTCCCTATGGGAAACATGGGCGTGTTTGACCCCACTGAGATCCACAACCGAGGTCAGCTCAAGTCCCACATGAAGGAGGCCATGATCAAACTGGGCTACCACCTGCTCTGCTTCTTCATTTACCTGTACAGGTGGGAGCAGCAGTGTTCAGTGTCAACAGCTCGCAGCAGTCAGCTCACTGCCTGAGTGACGGCGGTGTCTGTTTGTATTAACATGTGTCTGTCTCTCCATCTTGTTTCTGCAGCATGATCCTGGCTCTGATCAACGACTGAAGCTCTCAGCAGCCTCTCTCACCCCAGCTGCCAAATCCCACACTCCAGGGTCCACCCCCCAATCCCCCCAACCCACCCCCCCTAACCCCCCCCACCTGCTCCTGTGTCCTGCTCCTGCTCCTGCTCCAGTTCCTGTGTGCCCCAACCCTATCAGAACAGCCCAGAGAACACGTTCACTCTAACTGTGGTCGAGTTCACTGTTATGTGTGTTGTCAGAATCCCAGAGTTTGAACTGTTTAACAACTTCAGTACCATCGTGATGAAACTCTACTGTGGTCAGATTTTTTTTTATTATTAGCAAGCAGCAGTTACTCAGCCTCTACTGGCTGTAAGACACATCTCCACAGGGTGGGCTTCCTTCAGCAGACACACACACACACACACACACACACACACCCTCTGGCACCAACAGTCACTTCACTGTCAGCGTCGCATTTCCTCCTCATTCTGGTGTCTGCAGCTGATTGGATATTTAGATGTACCTTATCATTTAGTGCCGTGGATCAGTGCAGAGTTCAGCTGCTGGCGTGTCACCACAGGATATGAAGCGGCTGTGCTGTGCTCAGGCCTTCAGCTCTGAGACACATGTAGCTCCATGTTAGGCTCCTCCATCACTTCTTGAAACTGGAGGTGGAAACGTGGTGGACTGAGTGTTTCGGCTGTTTGCAGGTTGAGTCTACGTCCACATGACTATGCTTTCGTTTTAAAACGCATCTCTTCTGCTCTCCTGTCCACACTACTCTGGATTTTTCTAGCATTTAAAATGGAAACGCTGCTGGTTCCGTTTTAGTTTGAAAAGTCCGGGGTTGTGTTGCTGTCTGGACAGGTGAAAACGGAGCCCTTAGGAAACGATGATGCAGACGCCCACAGTCGCTCCTCGATTGGGTCTTATCTCCCTCGACTACCAGTGGTGAATACAACATGATAATGAAAAATAAGTGTTACTGACCTTGTTGTCTTTGCTAGCAGCTGTTGAGGAGTTTAATTCTGCATTTTAACACTGCAGCTGTCTTTGCTGTTCCTCGTTCATAGTGTTTTTTGCAACTAATCAGCTGCAGAGTAGACAATCTGCTTCCTGTTTACACCGGCTCGCGCATGCTCAGTGTACGTGATTGCTCAGGTATGGATGTGTTTTCAGCTGTGACAGTCTGGATGGAGATCGTTTCTGATACAAAGCTAAAATGTTCGTCTGGACAGAGATCGTTTTCATTTGAAAACGTAGTAGTGCGGACGTAGCCCGAGGCCGTGCTGACTGATCCTCCTCCACCTGTGCTGCTGCTGAGAGTCTGACGTGTCTCCTCATCAGTGATCTTCAACTGACTCAGTGTGTTGAGTGTTAGAAGAGGCCGTTCCACTTGTGCGTTTTTCTTTTTGCTCCCACAAGTAAAACTTAATGTGATTTGCAGTTTGTTCTGGTTTAGAAAAACCTGGATCAGATCCACAGTGGTGGGAAAATGGCCGACAGGTGTGTTTGTCACTCCTGCATGTTTATTGGATCAGGGACAACATGACAACATATTTCCTCTCTCACAGACACCGACCCAAAGCAAATCAAAGGAAAATCCACATAAAGCAATAATAGTAAGTTTTAGCTGCACAGCATGTTGAGAAACAAAGACAAAGGATAAAAAGTAAATAAAATCCAAAACAAGATCAAGTCTTTTTAACCATCATAACCAACAACAGTGAGGAGATTTAGATGGACACACTGAGTCAGTGTGAATAAAGCTGAAGGGGGAGAGCATCGACTCAGGTGTTCAGACCGACTGAACCAGAACCAGTCACAGTTCAGTCACCTGCTGATGGATGTGGTCCGTTGTGTGTCACTCCGTCTCATCCCGTGCTCCTGTATTTCTCTGAGGTCACACTCTCCCACTTCACTGCAGCTTGTTTAACTCATGTGGTCAAAGGTTTATCAAAGACAGGAACTCTGTGACGTTTGTACTGAAGTGAGGTGAAACTCTGTGATTGTGACGACGCCAGTGATCATCACTGATAATGTTCTGAGAGTCTTTGTGCAAACAGGAGCTGCCAGACCTCCAGCATCACTGATCAACCACTACAGCCCCCCACCACCACACACACACACACACACACACACACACACACCAATTGATAAATATACAGTCATATTTGATCCATATAAGTCTGTGTCACTGGGCAGACTGAAGGACAATCACACTAACCACACACGTCAGTCCTCTGTCACTGTGTCTGGTGTTGTTGTGCTAGAGGGATGTGACATCACAGCTGGATTCTCTGAGCTGGGGGGTCATTTGTTTTGCCATAAAACAGGTTATTGAAAGCAGTGACTCTGTGTGTGTGCATGTGTGTGTGTCTGTGCGTGTGTGTGCGTGTGTGTGTGCATGTGTGTGTGCGTGGTACTGTATGAGTCTGGATTTGACTCAGTCCTGCTCTGATGATGTTTACTGACTGACTTCAGCATTGAACTCTCTGTATGTTAAACTGTGGCGTTGTCTGGGTCGGAGGATGGCGGATGTTTGCTCTCCTCTGTGTCAGGCCGTTCGTGTTGTTCCGGAGCCACTTCTCTCTTCAGTGTGGGTGAACCGGGAGAACTGGTGAATGGGTTCCTGTCTGATTGACACCACAGTATAATGTCGTATGAATTGTTCGGTATGTTTCTGGAGGGAAATGTGGAATTTCATAAATAAACATGAAAGACAAACTGTTCGTCCTCATTTGATTCCATGGTAACGGTGCAGCAGTGAATCATATGTTCTATACATCAGGGACCACAAGGTGTTTACTGTAAGTGTAGAGGAGGAGCTGAAGTTGTATCTGTATTGATTTATCCTTTCTTCCATCCAGCACTGAGGTTAAACCCAGTATTGTCAGCTATCTTCATTATTATTTTAACTGTTTTCTCCTCATCCCTCAAATCAAGACCCAGAGACTCCAGCTGTTTACCATGCAAGTGAAATACTACAGATTTTATTATGTTAGCTTGTAATAAAAAAACTTTTAAAAAACAGTTTAGGTTTAAAATAAAATACAACAACACAAATTCTCATTATGATAATATTGTCATAATAATAATAATACATTTTATTTGGCAGCGCCTTTCACAGCACTCAAGGACACTTTACAGAAGATTAAAAACACTAAAAAACAATAAAAACAACAGACAGTTAAAAAGAAAACAATGAAATTATAGCGAATATGCGGATTGAAACAGATGAGTTTTGAGTCTTGATTTGAACTGGGGTAAAGAAACAATGTTACGGATGTCTGGTGGGAGAGAGTTCCAGAGTTGGGGAGCAGAGCGGCTGAAAGCTCTGCTCCCCATGGTGCTGAGGCGGGCGGATGGCATAGAGAGCTGAAGGGAGGAGGAAGACCGCAGGGAACGAGAGGGGGTGGTAATGCGGAGGAGATCAGCCAGATGGGGGGGGGGTGAGGTTATGGATGGCTTTGAATGTATAGAGAAGAATTTTGAACGTGATACGGAATTTGACTGGGAGCCAGTGGAGCTGCTGGAGGACGGGAGGGATGTGGTGAAAGGAGGGGGGGTCGGGTGATGATACGGGCTGCAGAGTTTTGGACCAGTTGGAGCTTATGGAGGGATTTGTGGGGGAAACCGAAGAGGAGTGAAGTAACGGGGGAGGGCTGTGAGGTAAAGGACTTGAGCTGAATGAACTGAATGCGGCCAGTGAGGTAAGAGTGGAACCAGAGAAGGGGGGGTGTGAGTGATGCCAATGGAGGAAAGTCTACTGAGGAGGATGGGGGGAGAAACGGTGTCGAAGGCCGCACTCAGATCGAGGAGGATGAGGATGGAAATCAAACCGGAGTCAGATGCCATGACGAGGTCACCTGTGATTAGTCTCCTGTATCTGTTTGATGTCCAGAGAAATTTTCTCAGATGATAAATTGAGGTGAGTGTTGTTGATGAGTTGACACATCTACAATTTCAAGTTTATATGGTGCTGTTGTCATAGCAACACATCTTAAACCCACAAAGTCCATCTTATTGACAGCTAACTGGATCAAGCTGAAGCCTGAGCGAGTCATTTCAGGGAGACAGGATGTTAATGATGATGACTAATGGTTTTAGATTACATGTTATATAGAAGTCATTGAGAAATCTGCTATTATTATATGATATTAATACCAGAATTACACCACACACAATAACACTGAACAAAAGTAAACTAAACCAGTTCAAACACAAGATTTAGTTTGACATAAGAGAGAAACTGGAGTTTCAGTCAAAGAATTCAACAGATGAAGACTTGAAGGAAAAACAACTGAAAAGTTCCTGTACAAGAAACTGAGTTGTATCACAGATATTAACTGTCTACATCAATTCATTTTAGTCTGCTCAGTAACAAGTTAGAAGATACCCCACTGCACATTCCCGTGTACCCACCACTCACAGGGAGGGGCATTTGGGTAGGGTGCGATGCAGATCCTGTGTCAGGCGGGGACCTGGGTGGGCTGACTCCCGGGGTTGCAGACCGGTTCTAGGAACATGGAACGTCACCTCTCTGGTGGGGAAGGAGCCTGAGGTGGAGCGGTACCAACCAGAGGAGCTCTGGAACCAAAACACCTTTTCCACCGGACTGGTGTTGTTGCTGGAAAACACTTTGAGCAGCTGCTGAACCCGACTAACACCTCCTCCATCGAGGAGGCAGAGTCTGAGGACTGGGGAAGCCTCATCCATAGCCCTGGCAGAGGGTCCCTGAGGTAGGTAAGAAGCTCCTCGATGGCAAGGCGCTGGGTGTGGATGAGATTCGCCCTGAGGTGCTGAAGGCTTTGGATACTGTTGGGCTGTCATGGCTGATACGCCTCTTGAATGTCGCACGGAGGTCGGGGACAGTGTCTGTGGAGTGGCAGACCGGGGTGGTGGTTCCTATTATTAAAAAGGGGGACCAGAGGATGTGCTCAAATTATTGGGGGATCACAATGCACAACCTCCCCAGGAAAGGAGACCGATTGTCGAACCTCAGATCCAGGGGGGACAATGCGGATTCTGTGCTGGCCCCGGAACAGTGGACGAGCTCTTTACCCTCGCAGGAGTGCTGAGGGGGTCAAGGGAGTCTGACCAGCCATGGTGGGTATTGTGGGAGTATGGGGTCAAAGTTAAAGGGGTCTGAACACTTTGAATACTGGGTATATAACCCTACAGTTCATATACATGTTCAGTCAGACAGGAAAGAAACAAACTGTTGCGTTCAGATCAAGTGAAAGACATTTCAGAGTGAATTCCATTTTAAAACCCTGAATGCTTTATTTAAAATATGCATACATAATACTTCTCCTACAGAACAATACAGAACAGTACAATCACTTTTTGTAATAACACATTTAAAATGTAAAACTGCCTGCAAGCAAACAAAGTTCTACTTTGGCTTCTTACAGCGAGAAGAGAAAAGAAGAGAAGCCTGAAATACTCAGAATGAACAAACTGCAGAAAGAAGCTGGACCACCACGTCTGTGTGTGACATCTAGTGTTGTGCGTGTTCTGTGACGGCAGAGCTGAGGCTGGTGATGGCTGTGATTGGTGCCTGGGCAGATGAACAGGGTTCCCACAGTCCTCACAGTCCTGCAGGTGTCATCCAGGACTGGAAAAGAATCTGAACAACAGAGTCTGTAGAAGCAGATTGGTGTACAACAACAAATAGACCCGACGTGGTTTTTGTCTGAACTCTGCTCTGTGAATCTTCGAACAGATGTTCTGTGTCAGCAGGTGCGAATGTGGACGTGCCGCTTTACATTCCCACAGTGGTACAGTGAGTAGCTGCTGACACCTGACAGCAGAACCAGGTGTGGGAACCCGGGACATCCCTTCATCCTGTCTGCCAGTGGAACAGCCTCATAGTACATGCCATAACATAGGACTATACAGCACATATCACACAGAACATCACATCAGGCAAGACTGTTCTGACTCTCTGAAACACTTTGTCAAGTCCATCATAACTTTATGTTACATTTGTGTACAAATGTGTCACACACTGACTGTTAAACACTCACTCCATCAGTGTGTTACTGTGACCTCTCAGCTCACTGTGACCTGGTCAACTCAAAGGATGAGGCTGGAAATTCTCTTTTTTTTAATCATAGAGAGAGAAAGAGAGCGAGTGTGTGTGTTAAAATTAGTCAGTCTCACACATCATTCACCGTGAACAAACACACTGTAGTTTATTCTGACTCAGTCACATACACACACACTTTTCTGCTGCCACAAACACTCACTAGAGCACCAAATGTGGATTAATCCGCCGCTGAAAATAGTCTCTAACAATGTCACTATTTCCACCTGTTTGATAAAAACCACAGTGAGCAGCTGTTTCAGTAAATTACACTTTAAAAAAATGAATCTATATGTTTGTAAATTGATGTCCTCAGTATGAACTAACACACTGTAGGTTCTGAGCATATGAAACAGAAGAACTCCAGCCTCATCTTTTGAAGCAGCTGACAGATGAGCTGAGGTATTTGGGGGGGGGGGGACAGCTCCACTTGAAGTAAATAAAAAACAAACGCAGTGATTATAAATGAAACTTAAACGTGAACTAAACCAAAGGAAAAGAGATTCCTGCAACAGGAGCAGAAGCAGAGTAAAGGGGGAGTCCACACTGACAGCAGGAAGGAGACGCAGATCATCCAGAGGTAACAGCTGCAGCCACCACTCAACACATGTAATAGATACACTGCAAGTGTAAAACACAAGTTTCCATCAAACACGTCGTCCTGTGCTCTTCCTCTGCCTCTACTCAGGAAAGCTGAAGGAAAAACGTGTTCTGCATTAAAAAAAAAAAAACAAAACAAGATGACAGAGTTTTAAAATGAACACATCCTCCTCTTAGCGTGAGTGACGGCTGTCAAATAAAATCTCTTCAAAGCTTCAGGAGGAGATGGAGCGAACGAGCTGTGAGCAGCTGAGACACAGGACTGAAGAAAACTACACCCTCCACCCGCCGTTGCTGCGCCACAGCCTAGCACTAGTCAGTGAACTACTCATGAATAAATAATGTAGCTGATAATAAATAAGAGGAGGTGGGTGGTCCTGGATGGTCCTGAGGGAACGGGTCCAAACAAGGGGAGGAGGTGGGTCAGATACTGGAGGTCCTGGAGCACAGCATCGCCCGGCTGGCTCTGCTCTCAGTCGTGTGACCGAGTCTGACATCTCTGTGTTGTGACATCCTGACACGGAGCCCTGCCGCCCCGCCTCCAGGATGCAGCTGTCCAATCACCAAAGCTTTCCCCGCTTCATCCATTCAAGTGTCTACAGAGTCTTAACGCTCCTCAGGTTCAGAGGTCCAGCAGGTCATCAGCTGTCCATGCTGCAGCACTCTGACATGAAGGAGACAGAAGGAGGCAAAGGGAGACAGGAAGGAGACAGAGGTCACATCGTCGTCACAGATGCTGAGATCCTTGTACCTGCTTTTAACAGAAAAGTCCAAACTCCACCTTCATCTAAACCTCACAGAGTTCATCTCACTCCATTTCAAATCAAGACTACCGCTATTTGTGGTTTTAAGAACCAAAAACCATCTCAATGTAGTTTTACAGACTGTTTAATACAACGGTGGGAGATGTGTGCGTCCCTCAGCACGTGGATTTCATTCACTAAAACCATGCACACTAGTTTTAATGTTCGTACCGTTGAGCCCCTCTGCATCCTGGACATCCAGGAAGGGGGCGGGTCCCCAGATCCGGACGGTTCCGTCATCTGAGGCGCTGGCCAGCAGTCCGGGCAGGACGGGGTTCCAGCTCACACAGTTGACTGTGCGGGTGTGACCGGTCAGCTCAGCGATGGGCAGCTCACTGCGCCGGTGCCAGATGTAAACTTTGTGGTCTGACAGGAGACAGGACACTGGATTACACTTAAAGGGAAACTCCACCAGTTTTACTGATCACAGCCTGTTGACTCACGAGGTGGACGACCTCTCAGGCTGCAGGTACGTGAACGGACGTGATCAGCTGTCTGTTTATTTGTACCTGTACATACAACTTGTTGATGTTTACTTTTTCTGCTTTTACTTTAACCTGCCTGACGTTCTGCTAGGATTCAGGAAATGTGTGACCTAGGGTTACCCATAAGCCCCTTCTCTGCACGGGTCTGCACACATGCTTACATTCAATTTCATGCAAAAGTTTGGACCCTTCTACTTGTAAATCACTCTCCCATTCATTAACTCTTAATTGACTCGTTTAGACTTATTAGACTTGTTAGGACTCAGATAGAGCTGCAGGTCTGCTGGGCAGAAAAACAAAGCATGGAGGAGTCATCAGAAAGAAACTTTACCTGCAACCTCATCACAAAAGAAAAAGCAACATCTGGATCAGCCAGAGTCATTTTGGAAACAGCAGGACACGGATTTCTACTGAACATGACGCTGTCTCACCTTCGCTGCCACTGGCGATGAAATCTTCATTGTGGCCTCCGAGGCAGGAGTGGATGGTGTAGAAGCCCTGGGTGACCCCCTGGTACTTCCTCACCAGCACCCGGTCTTGCAGGTCCCACAGGTGCACTCCCTACAAAGCACAGGATTTACTGTAGGAACTGGTTCAGGTTGAGGGGAAAGAACAGTACAGTGTGATACTGTACTAGCTGCTCACCTGGGTTGCAACATTCAGCAGAGCTAACCTCCCGTTTTTGGACACAGTGAAGGACATGATGGGATGGTCCTCCTGCACTCTGCAACGACACAACACACAACATGATCCACGAGACAACAAACACACAGAGGCTGCTGCTCCGGGACTGCAGGAACCAGAATTTGGTTCAGACGTCTATAAAACAGCAGGTTACTCAGCCCCGTGGTGACGTACATGTTTCTGTCCGTCAGGTCCTCAAAGTTGTATCCTCGGATACGTTGGTGGGTGTCGGAAGCGAGGACGGTCCGGCCGTCACTCAGACACCAAAGGCACTGCACCCGGACCCCTTCCCATGAGTCCAGCAGGTTTCCGTCCAGGTCCTGGGAGTCAGGAGGAAATAAAATGCATTCAGGAGCAGGATCTACACCAGACTGCTGCAGAGAAAACCAAGATCCTTCTGTATCTGATCTGGGGTCAGTGTTTTCTTCCTCAGTGATGGACCTCCCTTTCACAGATCTGACCTGGTCACACTAAATTAATGGTCATGAAGCAGCACACAGGTCAGTTTTCACTGGCAAAGCTTTACTAAAACAAAAACCTGTCAGGAGCTGCAAGTGTTCTCTGTTCTGGAAAACCAGGAACAACTACAACACAACTACCATCAACAGATGGTTCTCATCTGCAATTATCTATCATCAGTTGATTAGACGTTTGATTTAAATGAATATCTCAGACCTCAGCCTCCCACAACCTTGCAAAGGATGCCTCCTCTGATTCTGCATCTAGTGATTATTTTCATCATCAATTAATTGCTTTCTCACAAATTTGGACAATAAAGAGTGCGAAAATAAACGAGCATCACACACACACCGTGTTTCCTCACTACTCCACCAGGCTGTGACTACACTCAAATGAAATCTTTTTATTGTTTCTATATATGCAAATATGCATACAGTATGTAAGCAGCAATATACTGTAAACATATAATTAAGATATACATTATATCAGTTTTGGTTTGTTTGTTTCATTTTGTATTTCGAAGCTGCGTTGTTCTTCTAAAACGTTCATGTCAATAAAGAACCTCTGAATTGAATAGTGAGCTGGTACTGCCTGCTCTGCTTCACACTGTCAGTGCAGCTCTGTTAAATGTGTTTTGTATGTAACACTCTGACACCGTGAGTGTGTGTGTGCTGTGACAGATACTCACACATTGGTAGAACTGGCCTCTCTGGCCTCCCGTGACGAAGCGTTTGCCATCTGGGTTCCAGGCCACGCTGGTCAGGCTATCCTCATGAGACTGACTCATCTTAGTCCGTAACTCCCCCGTCTACACAGCAGAGGAGGAGAAGCAGAGATCAGACACAACACACTGCTGATAACGTGACCCTCTAGTCACCTGAAAACGCTATCTCTTATTGGCTCATTCTGTCCTCCTTCAGGTTTCAGTGTAGTGAGAACACAGTGTCTGCATCCTCAGGGTCCACATGGAGGGGACTGGAGCAGCAGCAGCAGAAGGTAACACACTGAGCTTAAAGCTGCACTAATCAATAGTTTGATTCTTTTTTGCAACTTTAGGGTGTTTCTTTTTTAGGTTATTTTTTTGGACATGTTATGCCTTCATTCCAGCTGCAGTGAGAGAGAGAGAGAGACAGGGAAGTTGAGAAGTTGAAGAGAGAGAGAGAGAGGGAGAGAGAGAGAGAGGGGATGACCTCCACGGCGCCCAAGCGTTAGGTTTGAAGTTTAATGAAATGAGTCATGTGCAGATTACTGTCACCACCTCTGCAGCTCCCCTCAGATCTCAGAGGATTCAGCCTCTTTAAGCTCACTCTCTCCGACCTGGTCTCCTGCAGCAGCAGCTGCTTGATGCACCCATTTCAATTTTCTTGGCTGATTCTCATTTCCTTTCTAAGAAATATAACTGACACCTACACAGACAATGGACAATTCAACTATGTGCTCATAATAAAACACTGACTATATATATACATATATACTGACTAATAAATAACTGGGTAAATGGCTGGATGTATTATTATTATCAATGATGCCATTATAAAAGACACGGCAGCAGCACATGTTCAGCAGGGTGATGTAAGTGTCTGATTAAGTTTATTGTTCAGAATGTTTTCCTGACTGTTCCTCCACTTCTTACTTTGGTGTTACAGGTTGTACAGATTGCAGCTTTGTGTCTTCTTCACTCATGGTAAAGTACTTCCACATTGACAACATGGTGTGTGTGTGTGTGTGTGTGTGTGTGTGTGAGATCTGTGCGGCTCTACTCAGGACCATGGTTGCACGGTACAAATACAAACAGAACATAATATACCATCATACCTGGACAATGGAATTAAATACAGTATGAGTTAAAAACAACCCATGGTATCCCAGCATTTCACTTAGTGTATAAAAAGTTATTATTACTGATGGAATGATGAATAGAACTACAAAAATAATTGTAGTAAACCAAAATTATAATTTAAAAGATACTTTCACATTTTTTCCTTAGACCTACAGTGTCCTGTATTTACACTGAGGGAGTAATTCTTCCTTCTTTTACATTGGCAGTAAGTGATGGGTCCTCTTCTAAGGTTCAGCCTAAGTTACACTAACATATCTATATATATCTTCCAGAGTTACTCTCTTTGTATCACGGTCTCTCCTCTGGAAACACAATCTTGTATTAAAAACACCGTGAACTGGAAGATATCCACATGATGTGACTAACTCCTAACTCAGACTGTTAAAGCATCACATTTACTTCAGCTGAATTCCTCCATCTCTCACACTGGAGTCACACCCAGGGGGAGTCCTTTCACAGCCAGTATGAAGAACAGGGTGACCAACTAGAATCACCTCCTCCTGGTTGTTTCCTCCACCTACCAGTCAAAGTTACAGGAAATATGGTCACAGTCTCTTGGATATAAAATGTCATCACTTCATTTTATCCTGTTAGGCATTTGTGTCAAATTGTGTCATAATTAGTGTATGAATTTGTGAGTTATGGCCAAAAACATGTGAGGTCACAGTGATCTTTGAATTTTCACCATCAAATTCTAATCAGTTCATCCTTGAGTCCAAGTGAATGTTTGTGCTGAATCTGAAGAAATTCCCTCCAGGTGTTACTGAGATATCAGACAGATGACCTGAAAACATGAAGCCTCCTCCTCCTCTGACTAAAACAGTCTGTGCAAAGTGTGAGACGGATGTCAGGATGGCGGCGTGAACAGCTACAGCGGCTCCTAGCTCTCTGACTATATTCTTTTGTGTCCTTTTGTCTATTGTTGTGTGTTTTTACTGTTTTTATTGCTTGCACTGATCAGGAGAGGCGCTTTGAATTTCGTTGTATATTTTTTTTACAATGACAATTAAAGCTTTCTATTCTATCCTATTCTATTCTATTCTATCCTGTTCTATTCTATTGTATTCTATTCTATCCCATTCTATCCTATTCAATTCTATTCTGTTCTATCCTATCCTATTCTATTCTATTCTATTCTATTTTGATGGACAGGCTGTGACAGCTGGTTGTTTCACTGTTTCTAAACACGTGAGCTGAGCTGATACTGTTGATGAGACCATCAATAATCATGTGAGTGCTTGGTAATGTTACAGTATTTGTATTATATTTAATTCAGAGAATTATTTCCTACGATTACATCACTGATATCTTTAATAAAATGATGAACTGCTGGCTGCTGCTGTTTCATGTTCACCACGCAGATGACAGCTGATGTCATCCACTGATTTTAGATCGTTCTAAATGTGTGTCACTGTTCAGTCAGACACCAGGGAACTCGTTGACCAGCTGACGGGCGCCTGTGTGAGGTGTTATACCTGTACGTTCCAAAGCCACAGCTCAGAGCAGTCGTCAGGACCACAGGCGATCAGGTAGGCGTCATCAGGGCTCCATGCCAGGTATGAAACACCGTAAGCGTGACCCTCCAGAGTCTTCATCAGCTTCAGCTGCTGGGTTTCCTGTTGACCAACAGACACACAGTCTTCAGACCAGTTACTTCAGCTCTGAGGTGGAACTGATGAGGAGGAGACAACTGATTACCACGTCGACGTGCCACACGATGACAGTGGTGTCTTTGGACCCAGTTGCCAGTTTGGTGCCGTTGTTGGAGAACTTGCAGAACCAGACTTCGTTGCAGTGTTCGGTGAGAATCTGCTGAGTGTAGCAGGGGAACTGTTTCCTATAGATTAGGAACACACACACACACACACACACACACACACACACACACACACACACACACACACACACACACACACAGGTCACTCATAGTACACACTATAATCTGATTTTGTTTTTTGTCTGTTTGAAGGTGTGCAAACATCTGTGTACATCATTGTCTTCAGTTTTAAATGATGTGTAAGTGTATGTATATGTTTGTAGTACATGTATGTAAATATATGCTGAGTATGGATGTGTACATGTACTGTGTTTATTAGTGTATCATTTTAAATGTCTTCCTTTTATTACTTTTTATCTAACTTTTTAAAACAGAAAGAAAATGAAATTTAAAAGACAGAAATAGATTAAATCAAATCATTTAAAAGCTTGGATGGAGCCCTGGTGCAGTCCAGTGTGTGTGGGTGTGTACCGGCTGCAGGCATGGTCCAGGAGCAGGGACACAGAGTCCAGTCCACTGTCCAGCTTGGTGTTGTGGTAGAGGCAGCGCTCCCTCTGCAGCTCCACCGCCTGCTTCAGCAGAGTCTGCAGGCGGCGTGGGGGCAGCATCACTGAGGGAGGCAGGTAGGCTGCACACACAAACAAACACACACAAACACACATGCACACACACATATTAGTGGCACTGTATAGTGTAATATTCAACACTGACATATGCTTCTATGTGTTCTATTTTTATTCCATTCATTTTTATCTTTTATTTAGAGTCAATAGTTACTGCATATACACTAATTTAGCCTCTGATAGTTACTGAGCTCTCTATGTAAGTGAACATGTGTGCGTGTGTGTGTGTGTTTATACTGTAATATGTGTTTGTGGGGCATTTCAGTTTGTTTTCCTCTTCATTTTGAGCCCAGATCCCAAGAGGGAGTTGAATCAGCTAATCAACTTGCTGATCTACAGATCACCTTGTCAACATTGGGAGGTATGTGTGTATGTGTGTGTGTGACTCTGCTGCCAGCCTCTTTGAACTACAGTTACCCACAACACCCTTTTCCTTTGCAGGTCCACAGAGATGTTTATAAGTGTGTCTTCAGAGAAACACAACTCCTGCCAGTTGTGGAAAAAGCTTGTACATGTACAACAAGCTGAGTGTTTCCAGTCTGATGTCACATGCTGTTAATATTAAGCCAAGGGGAGAACACTGAACAAATACTCTACTGATTAAAGTTTAAATGTATCTACTACAGCTCTATATTCTCCTCTTCTCCTGTGTTTTATTTGAAGTGTTGATCCTTAAGAAGATATATTTGTGGTTTTAAGAACCAAAAACCATCAAATGTCCTCTCTCAGGCTTCCCTCTGGAGCTCTAGTAACAACAGGTCAGTCAGCCAATCAGAAGAGAGGAGGCTCTGAGCCTCTCTTCTGATTGGCTGACTGTTTTCTGAGTGAGTGAGGTAAACACTCAGAGAAACCAAATCCTGCATGGTTGGATGGTGGGTCCAGGAGTGCATGGCTGAGGATGGTGACTGCTTTGTTGTGACATCACAAAGTTCCAGAAGTCCTGACGGCTGGTTTTAAGGCTCAGTTTCTGAATACAGGCGGTGTGCATTTCTCTGTGGACTGAGGCTTTGATACTTTCACAGTGTTAATATAGAACCTACACCTGCTTTATAATCAAACTACACATGGACAGAGACCTTTAGACTTAATGGACCTTTAGAGAATGAATTTAAAGTTTTGTAAATATTACCTAAAGATCTTTTTGATATACAGTATACTATCAATATAATGTTATATTCTAAGATCAATATGGCCAAGGTTAAACTGCTACTAAATGTTCTTAATCGCACAGGTTGAGATGTAACTTTGTACATATAATCAAACTGAACCTCATCTACACATGATCTCTGCGGTTAAAGCTCAATGCACAGACTTACAGTACACAGCAGCTCAGAGAGTGTTAACTACAGGGGGGAGGGAGTGTGTGTGTGTGTGTGTGTGTGTGTGTGTGTGTGTGTGTGTGTGTGTGTGTGTGTGAGTGTGAGTCAGACTGCACTCACTCTGCAGCTTGTCCAGTAGCTTCGTTCGGGATGCCGTGCCTTTCCCTTCCCACTCTGCTTTGGCTCGTAGGTCCTCTGCATGACTGCACATCAGGTACCTTCAACACATGGTGACAGCTTCTCAGCTACAGTCACTCACACCTGCTTTACTGAGCTCACACACATCTGTCACTGTCAGTGTATTTATCTGCGTCTGTTCTGTCAGGAACGTCCTCCTCCTTCACAGCTACCGAATCAGAAACAAGCAAGACGATGATCGATTCTCAGTACTGGACCAGCACCAGGGTCACACGACACGTGTAACGCCATCAGTATATCTGCTCAGTATGAACCTGGAATGAATCCTCTTTCCAGCATTAAAGTGAGGAAGAGGAAAATCGACCAATCATCATCTTACAAGCTCTGCTCTGCTGCTGTTTGATGATGGTGGTCAGTTTGATTCAAAGCTCACAGCTACAGGCCACAGTGTTGTGTTTAGGAATATTATGAGGATGTTTTGCAAAGCGACTGGGACATTTCCTTTAGCTTCCCCCTCCCCAGGCTGGAGAGACTGAAGCTCAAACATTGTCACACTGTGGGGCAGGATGAACACTGCAGCCCCTGATGTTCCCTGTGCTGCAAAGTTGAGTCAGGATCAGTGGATGCACCAACACAGCGTTCTCACTGGTCAGAGTGAATACAGCCTTACTGGGGAGTCTTTATCTAAAGCAGGACGTCAGCATCATGTAAACACTACTGAAGCGTCCATTCCTGCTGTCCAGCTGTCTCTGTCCTCAGCAGCAGCGAGAGGACAAACTGACTCCACCCGGCTGAGGAGCATCAGAAACAGTTTTACAGAGGGCACTTTTATCACAACTCTTAATTGGCAGTAGAATGATTATAGTGACCTGACTGATCATTACTGAAACCATTAATAAGGGAGTAAACAAACACACAGCTGGAGATTTGCCTTTGGAGACAATGTTTCACTAAACAGAGAATTTATGCTGATTCTATTAAGGATGCCACAATAACGTTTATTTGCTGCCGATATCTACGAGTGAGATACCGATCATCTTTGGCATGCATTGCAGATGGTGTATGTCAAATCAGCCTCACACACTTTGTAAAAGTTCCACACGTGTTTTGGTGGTCTGTCGCACGGCGGCACAGTGAACAAGGTGGGAGGCAGGACTACACTACACAGCACACAGTTCTTCTCCCAGCCGCAGACACCAGAGTATGAACCACAGGTGATCGGTTTAAAGGTGAATGGTGACTAAAGCCATTAATTCTGATCTACTGATCATGTGATTTTAAGGAAAATCAGCCAATAATAATTGGCAGACAATCAATTGGGGCATCCCTAAATTTTATGTTTGTGCCATAAACAAATGTGCATCCTGTGGTGTCGAGCTTCACATGCATGAGTGTTTGAGTCTGTGTTGATTGTGACGTTTGACAAAGTGGAAGCTGGATGAGATGGAAAGGTGACGGACATCAGAGACACTGCCTGCGTGGACTGTCTCTCTTGTCATTTCAGGGGATTCTCCACTCCGACACTGAAGACCTCATTATGATCGCATTTTGATGATGTTTAAACCAGAAGTGAAGTGAAGTCAGTGAAGTCAGCTGAATCCTTCCTGCTCCACCCCTGAGCGACCTGACAGGTTCTACTGCTACATGGACATGATAACTCATAACTCAGTTCTCCACAGTCTGACCCTGCTCCTCTGTCTGTCTGCTGGTGAACTGACCCGCTCAGGATGTGGATCCGCTCCGTGTTGTACTTGAGGGGGGTGAGCTCGGCTCTGAGGACCTGCAGGGCCTCCAGGACCTTCCCATCCTCCAGGTACTCCAGATACTTCTGCTGCAGCAGGAGGAACTTCATCCTCTGATGAGGGGGACAAGGACGGGAGAGGACGGGAGAGGACAGGAAAGGACGGGAGAAGACAGGAGAGGACGGGAGAGGACAAGAAAGGACAGGAAAGGACAGGAGAGGACAGGAGAGGACGGGAGAGGACGGGAGAGGAAAGCGGTCATCACGATATCTGCAGGCTGTTCTGCTACATTTACTCATACCACATCAAACTCTAATACTTCATTACCAACACACTGAAATGACTGTTTCTGTACATTTGTTCCACGTTTATAAAGAGTCCATCAGTCTATTAACCTGAGTGTAGAACCTGGTCTTCACACTTAAATCAGCTGGTTTCACTGAAACAGTCAAACACTGTTTATGTGATATTTAAACACATTTTCATCTTTTCTGTCCATCATTGTCTGTCTGGTCTGTGTGAAGTGGAATGTGAATTATCTGTTGTTGTGATGGACTGTCAATCACACAGTAACTGCTTGTCTCCTCTGACGGAGGCTTAAAATAAAAACAGACTTTGGACGAAAACAACCTGCAGTTAACTGTGAGAAGAAGCTGTGTGAAGGGGATCACCTCACAGTTATATTAGAGAGACCAGGGCTGGATTACAACCAGGCAACGTGGACAACAGACCTCTAATCAAGAGGACCCTGAGTACAAGTAAAAAAAAGTCAAACGTTTGGAGGTTCATGGAAGGTTACTGGGGGCCAGCAGTTCATTTGTGGCCCAGAGCAGGTGAGTGTACAGACACACTGAGAGCAGCCTCTGTGTTCAGGTTCAAGCTTTGTGTTGTGTGTATGTGCTGCAGTATTGTGTGTACAGGCTGAACACACTGAAAAGCAGCACATCCAGAATGAACCAGTGATCACTGGGGCGGTGTGAGTCTCAGACCACTGAGCTCCAGAAACAGGATTTGCACAGTCTTAGTGTGCTCTGTGTGTTTTGTTCTCACTGCTGAGGACAGGATTTAAGGCTACGTCCACATCACAGCGTTTTCATTTTATAACACAGTAGTGTGTCATTTTAAGCAGGAAGCATTTCGTCTTCAAAAAATACAACATAAAATACGGCTGCAGTGTTAAAATGCAGAACAATAGCTGCTAGTAAAGACAACAAGGTCAGTAACACTTGTATTTCATTATCCGTGATGTATTCACCACTGGTAGTTGAGGCTGATGAGACCCAATCAGGGAGTGACAGTGGGTGTCTACGCCATCGTTTCCAAAGGTCTCTGTTTTCATCTGTCCAGACAACAACACCAACCCTAGAGTGTTCTAACTAAAACGGACCCAACAGCGTTTCCAAAAATCTCCGGAGCAGTGTGAACAGGAGGAAGAAACGTAGGAAAAGGGATGCGTTTTAAAACAAAAACATAGTAGTGTGGATGTAGCCAAAGTCAGGTTATGTTTTCCTGTGGTTTCTGTGGAACTGATGGTTTCCCTGTTTTCTTCTGTGGTGCTGACGCATGTTTGAAGCTCTAACTACAGCTGGTCTCTTCTATTTTGTCCCTGTATTCACATGATGAGACAAAACAGTGTGTAAGTGGACTGAGGACTGCTGGGCTTGTCACTTACCACTATAGCACTTGGAGAGTGCATCAGTGCCTTCAGCTCGTTCAGATCACTCTCAGCCTGAGTGAAGAGAGGGGAAAGGTGTGAGATCAGCTTTACTGGGTCAGACAGTTCAAGCACAGAAACAATCTTTTTTTTTTTTGTACACTAAATCCATATTACTTCCTGTACTTGTCTAAATACAGAGAACAGGTTACTGTTATGGATATGCATTGCAGATAACTCAGCTGCACCTTGTCCCACTCTCCTTCCATGACGTGGTTGCGGAATTTGGTGGCAGAGGGGTGCTCCAGTCTGCAGCCAGACTCCTGCATCAGGAGGTCCACCGTCTGACTGTGAGCAGTGTACACATTCAATTAATATCAATTATCAATCACTCAGCACTCATGACCAAGTTCTGACATGATCTCTGTCATCATGTGAACAGCTGATAAATAACATGTGACTGTGCTGGACACTATGCAGGGAGTGTGCTGAGCCAAAGGTTTAATTCTGTATCTACTGTCAATGAGCAGACATGAATCATTGAACAATTTGTCAGTTAATTCATTATTCAATTGACAGAAAATTAATTACAAGATTTTTTTATATATGTTTTTTTATATTGTACAGTGTTTTTAGGTTTTGGGCCTTTGATGTGCCATGTTATAGACTATACAATTAATTCATTAATTGGATCATAAATAAGTAAATAAAAATAAATAGAAATATAAACTGATGTAAAAACATTCTTCAGTTCCCCCTTTGGATTGATCATTACGTAACATTTAAAGAACAATATACGGTATGTATGGTTACAATAACATGAATGTGGGTCATGAGGTTCACCCTCCACATGTAAACAGAGGCGTCCTCTCCCACAGTGTCAGTTACATCAGCCCATAACAAACTCCCTTTAAAAATCCACCGTGTTTGTTTAATGTTGAAGCCACGGAGCTCGATCTGTCTGTACTGACTGTTGCCTCCACCACAGCGCTGCACTGAACAGTTGTGCGCCAGGAAGAAAAACACTTTAAACTTCACCCCTGTCAGCCGGGACTGTCTGATCCACTTAAGACCACCGTCTCAAACACCTGCGAGGCCTACAGACTCCTGACATTTAAACGTGATGTTCCCTGTCCAAAGGTCATCGTGACTGTCCCGGCTGCAGGATGGATCTCAGTGTGACACATCATCTGACAGCTGGCCGAGGACACGGTGCTTTAACCGGCCGACTTACTTGAGACCGAGGTCGTGTAGGTGTTGTCCTATCAGCCTGATGACATCCTCCTCCGACTGAGACAGACGCTTCTTCTTCTTCACGTCCGACGAGCCGCTGCTGTTGTTGGGCGCAGGCTGCGCTGACACTCCGTTGTTGTTGCTGACAGTGTTTCCATTGTTGGTGACTGACACCAGTCCGTTGGAGTGCGCTTCCCCGGTGGAGGACGACTCACCGTTCTGAGCACCGTTTCGGCAGGACAGTTCTGAATCCCGGTCCTGTCCTGCCCCGTTAGCCTGCATGTTACCGCGAGTTAAACGGGTCACACGACGCGTATTCAAACGAACGACGGGCGCAGCGGGACACTGCGGGGAAAACAACACCACCGGTACGGCCGCCGATAGGCCCACTGACCCAGATGCAGCCCCGAACTGCCCTGTTCCCCCTGCGGCCGAGTCTCCGTGTTTGTTCCGCGGCGGTGGCCGCGACGATAACGCGGTTTTCGGCTGGGAGGACGAAGAGACGGAGGCCACAGTTATTTGGACGACCGCATTTTGTGACCCTCGGCGGTCTACGGCGCTGTCAGGTTCCGTTAAAGCCGCGGTGAAGTTGTTGGGTACAGCTTGTTATTGTTGCTCTCAGACAGCTGCAGCCCTGTTATGGACATACGCAGTGACGTCGGCGGAAATTCCTTCACGTCGGTTCGTACGCGCTACGTCACCGTTAGGGGGCAGCAGACTTCAACTGCAAGTGTTTAACTGGGGCCAAGCCATGGACATAGGCTACCCCAGCTAGAAGGAAACGTTCCCACAACATTGGCTAACGTTACCTACAAGTTCTAATAATGTTTTAAAGAAAATGTTTTAATGTAATGTTCAAAGAACGTTTTAAGGATGTTTATCATTTCAAATAATGTTTCTAAAAGGTTAAATGTTAACTAACACACAACGTTTTAACTGCAATATTCTGAGGATGTTGTTGAGGTAACAGATTATAGAATGTTCTTTTATAAAACATTCCCACAATGTTACATGATAACAAAGAAAGAACAGTCCCAAAGCAACATTCTAAAAATGTTTTCAGGATGTTATTGAGGCCTGAGATGAGAGAACATTTTTTATAAAACGTTCCTACAATGTGATAAGTTAACAAAAGTAGAATGTTTTCCCTGCAACATTCTGAGGATGTTTTGAGGATGTTGTTGAGGTAATAGATTATAGAATGTTCTTTTATAAAACATTCCCACAATGTTACATGATAACAAAGAAAGAACATTCTCAAAGCAACATTCTAAAAATGTTTTCAAAATGTACCGTATATATACAGTATACACTGTATACTGTATATATACAGTACCATTCAAAAGTTTGGACACACCTACCCATTTTTCTTTATTTTGACTATTTCTTTTCTACATTGTAGAACGGAAGACATTAGAACTATGAAATAAAACATATGGAATTATGTAGTAAACAAAAAAAATTGAAAAACAACAACATATGTGTCATATTCTCCATTCTTCAAAGTAGCCACCATTTACCTTGATGACAGCTTTGCACAATATTAGCATTATTTTAATCAGCTTCCTGAGGTTATCACCAGGCAGGATTTTCAATTAACAGCTGTGCCTTGTCAAGAGTTAATTAGTGGAATTTGTTGCCTTCTTAATGCATTTGAGACCATCAGTTGTGTTGTGTTATTGTAGTGTTGGTATACAGTAAACAGCCCTATTGGACAACTGATCTAATCCATATTATATGAAGAACTGCTCAACTGAGAAATGACAATCCATTATTACTTTAAGACATGAAGCTCAGTCAGACCTTTGAATGTATCTTCACATGCAGTTGTAAACTGCATAAAATGCTCTGATGAAACTGGAGCTCAACATATATGAACTAATTCAAGACTGTGGGAAAACCATTCCAGGTGACGACCTCATGAAGCTGGTTGAGAGAATGACGAGCATACAAAGCTGTAAAAGCAAAAGCAGGCTACTTTGGAGAATCTAAAATATGAAGCATTTTGCTTTTTTTTTGTTCACTACATATTTTCATAGTTGTGATAATTCAGCATTGTTCTACAGTGTAGGAAATAATAAAAATAAAGAAAAACCACTGAATTAGAAGTTGTGTCCAAACTTTTGACTGGTACTATTTGACATACTGATTAGGGACAATCTAGTGATACTTTTCACCAATTTTCATGTCTGGGTTCAAGTTGAAGGTACGATCACACAAAACTCAGAGGTACTGTTGGTTTCCTTGGATCATTTCTGCCATATTGGATTTTATGTAAGTGTTTTTTCATTATTCCTTGGACAAATATTATTCAATCATCACTAAAATGGGCACAGATCATCTTCAGACTAAGCCTCAGAAAAGATTTCACATGGATTCCTCATTTTCAAAAGCATTCGCTTGTCACAGCAAATCAGATCAGCGTGTTTTATTTTCTCAGGAGTGGATTTCTGCTGCTCCACTCTTCGGCCTGTCGTCACGGGAGATACATGGGCGTTTCCCAGTCATGAACTTCAATGACGTGCTTGCTACCATGAACAGCACTCCAACTGGGAGTGTGTAAAACTGTTAAAATGTGCATTGCTGTCAGCCACAGTGTTATAATTGAGGATACCACTGGATGGCAACAAAGAAATATATTTTCAAAATCCTTTAGTGGCTGTAGGTACACGATATAATAATAAAATTATCTCTTTCTTTCTTTCTTTCTCCCAACCGGTTGAGGCAGACAAAAAAGTTTAGCAGTTAGCCCAAAGATGTAGTAAGCCGGTTAGCATTATGGGCTAACTAAGCTACATGTTCAAAGTTTTTTAGTCAAGTCAAAGTTTATTTCTATAACACATTTACAAACAACCTCAGTTGACCAAAGTGCTATACAAGCTCTACAAATATAAAGTTAGCTCAAAGATGTAATTAGCCGGTTAGCACCACAGGCTAACTAGGCTACACCTTTGTCCCAGAGAAGAACTTAAACTTAAGATGTCACTTACCCAGAGCCAAACCTTCCAGACTTAGAACTTGAAACTTGTTTCCCATAAAGTAATCACAGCATTTCCTGCCGACTGAGCACGAAGCAGCAGCAGACATGTTGTCTTCCTCAGGACTGTTAGTCTCCATTTTTAAAGTGATCTAATGCAATACGTTTACTATATTGGCTGCGGCATCAAAAATACTTATTCTTTAAATATTTTAATAACAGAACTTTCGACAACCATTACCGGTCCACTAACCGGGTTAAGCTGATAAAGCACTCACCAAATAACGGTAAAAGGGACTCAGTGGAGTCAGTTAGGCTCGTTTGAGTGTTTTGTTTCAAAAACTGATTTTTAACGATAGAACTACATGCTGAGAGTCACGTGTCCTGCAGAGGTAATCAGACCTGATACCATGGTTGCACTTTGACCATGACATCTGTCCAGGGTGCCATTTTTTAATTTGTTAAAATGTTTTTTTTTCATGAAAATAAATCACCAACCACAGAGGACCTATCAAGGCCAATTTGTTGAACTTGCACCCCTCAGTCCTCCCCAGCTTTACCCTTTCATCCAAATATGGTCTTCTGGCTCCAAAAAGATGGCGACGTCCATTAAGCCAAACTTGAGGCTTCAAAACGGCAGTTCACAAACCAATGGGTGACGTCACCCATTGTTTCCCACTTGGTCCAGACTTGTTTAAACAGCATTTTAGTATTCAAATGTAGGCTAGGCCTACTAATTGTTGAAATATAGTCATTTAATGTTGCTGAGTTTTTAAATGTAAAATATATTTATAATCTAGTTCATCTGAAACTTCTTCTGCAATGGGAGTCTATGGCAGCCCCTAGACCATATGGTAAAAAGTTTTGAAATTTGGCACACTGATTATGGACACTCCCATGATGCCTTTCTCCAGGTTTCATGTCTATACCTCAAGTGCTCTAGTGCCACGAACAGGTGAAAGTTGGAGGTGCATTCACTCGTGAGCTGATGAGCTCTTTCTGGACTTCATAGTAATGATGACACTGAGACTTGTCTTTATTAGATTTCTTTATTCAATTCACCTTATGATGACAAACAACTGAAATGAAAGAGGGTACACTGACTGAGAGATTCTTCAACTTAAAGACCAGGATCGGGATCAGCTGCTCAGAACAGTCTGAGGAGACCTACAGTATCTAATTCAATCCACAAAACTGTGAAGAGGAGTCAAAGCTCTGGATCTGAACAGTAACAACAACTACATCCACCACAGGGTTGAATCATCAGCCGTCAGCTGGCCCGGCTGGCCTGGACTCTCCAGACGGCATCTCAGTGTTCTTGTGTTGGAACTTAGCTCAAAAATTTTTTTGCAACCAAAACCTGGAATCATATACAGAGTTGACACAGTATTCAAAGTGCTATTTTGTTCCCAAGCCTGAGATTCTTTTAAAATACAAAGGAGAGGAGAGGAAACAGCCGTGGTCCGTGATGTGGCTTTTACATTTGAAGCCATTCCTTTATCATTGGCACTTTCACATCTGTGTAAGAAAAAAGACAACGTCCCTGTCATCTCCAATAAATAAAACTGACCAATAAACACAGTCTGAACTCTATGTACAGTGAGGACACGCTCAGTCCTCTTTCACTTTCTTTAAATAGAACAAAACATTACTTTATAAAAATATGAATTAAAGGGGAAGGAATGATTGAACCTTTCCTTAAGAGAGGAGAGCGTCAGGTTTGTAGAAGAAGAAACTATTGCACTTTCATCCCATTCTACAGAGACACTAATGGGTTTTACAATCAGCAGAGGAAAGAGCAGTGACTCCTGAATACTTCCCCCAAACCTTACACACAGGTCAGCTGCTTCCTGTTTGTTCTCCTGAACGTCACTGCTGTTAGTCAGAGCCTCAGAGACACAACAGTAGGGGAGTCATGTCTGAAGCTCAGGGTTGTGGCTAAGAAGAAGCTCTGTGATCAGAACCTGTATGATAGGCTTCAGAACCTGCATGTGAGCAAGCCGACTTGTTAGACTTTTTTTTGTGCAGGCCCGTTCACCAACTCTTAACACACCGTTTGTGATTAGGCCCATTTCTTTAGTATTGACACACTTTCCCTGTGTACCTGCTGATCTTTCCACCTGACTCCAAGCCTTGGGTAGAGGAACCAAGAAGACTGAGTGGGAGGTGAGACCTGAAGCTGAAGCTGTGAGAGGACGTGTCCTCTGAAGAAATTAGATTGTCTGAGTCCACAAAACCACATGGGTTCAGCTGAGGTCAGTTCTTTCACCTGCCCAGGTGTCTGAGGGTCAGTGCATAGACCATCACCTTCCACCACCTGCCCGTGTAAACGCATCAGAACACGCGGAACCCTGTGCACATCTGCTGTACGTGTCCATGTTGGAATATGTGACCAAGCAAGCAGAGACTAAAGAGACACACAGGTGAGAGAGAGACCTCATCTCTACCTGGTATCAACATGAGATCTGTGTCTGGATCATTGAAAACACATGTTAATATACTGGATCTGTCTCATCCAGGTGTGTATAACATCTGTATAGTTTGGCCCCAGTCAACCCAACCAGTTGAGAGGCCACCTGACCCTCACTGTGCCTCTTCATGCTGTCTGTAGCTGGTAAACAGCAACAGGTCACATCTTCACTTGTCCATGAAGGAAACATGACATAACAGCACAGTGGGTGGACAGCGGTGTCAGAGCACAACTGAAAACTACAGTCTGTGTAGGGATCTGACCAACAGGCAGAGATGGAACAAATATCAATTAATTCCAGGTGTAAATTCAAAGGCCTCATCATCAGGTGCAGCTCACACGTTAACACCTGGTGGAAACAACATGGAGAAGCTGAGAAAAGTTCGACTTCCTGTTCATGAACTTTTTTGTTGCTGTCGTCATTTTATATCATGAAATAAACAACTTCATCATTTTACTTCAAATTCTGCTGTTTTCTTCTTTTCCATCATCATCATCATCATCATCATCATCATCATCATCATCATCATCATCATCATCATCATCATAATTCAGTGAAAGAAAACTCCAGATCATTACAGCATCCGTCCTTCAGTGCGTTTCTAACACTGTACAACACCAAGTTCATCTCTGAGGTCATGTGTCACAGTGACGTCACTGACATGAGTCTGATGGGTGAAGAAACAGGAGCAGTCAGACGATCAGTGCGAGTGCAGAGTTTATCCAGATGAACTTAAACATTTTATTTTGAAAGTGAGCGGATCTGACACAGCAGAAACAAACAGGAAGTGGGTCTGTAAACTGTATGGATGTTTAACAGATGGCAACGGTTTACTCTTCTTCTTCTCTGTCTGATTGCCTGACTGCTCGTGTCCCTGGACCCGTCTCACCCTGTTCCCGGATCTCATCACAAGTTTATGACCAGAGAACATACAAACTTAACCCCCAGCTGTAATAAACTGGACTGATCCTCCCCCCTGTCTGTAGAGGATCCCAGCTGGGACAGGCACTTCCATCAGTCCACCGTCAGTGTGAAATAATATTCCTGCCATGTGTCAGTGTCCCGCTCCTCCAACCGACAGTGTGGACATCTGTTGTCCTCTGTTGGTTCAACACAGCATCTAGAGGCCAGCGGTGTAGAGTGCTGCACCAGGTCCAGGAGCAGAGGGACAGATCTGATCTGTCCCCAGATCAGGATCAAGGAGAACCAAGAGCCTGATTGTTGAAAAATACACTATAGGCGATGCACATACTCTTACACACACCAGGACCACAGACAGGCAGCAGCAGGTGGCAGATCACTGTATCATCACACTCTGATTGGTCCACGTCCACATCCTCTTCCCCATCGGAGACAGAGACCTGAACTCAGATCAGTCCGTCAGACTCAGTACATGGAAGTATTCTGTAAACCGGCAGCGTCCAGAATTTAAAAGACACGTGGTGTTAATGTGCTGAGGAGATGGGTGTGTGTGTGTGTGTGTGTGAGGTCAGTGTTGGAAAGAGATAAAGCCCCATCATTGTATTTAAATTACATCACTTTGAATTCAAAAGTTCATGTTCAATGATTTTATCATTTTAATTTTATAATTAGGAAATTGTGTTTAAAGTTTTGTTTGAGTCAAGACCAGAGGTTGATTTCTCATTCTCATTATTGTCATTATTATTGCTCTCTCTCTCTCTCTCTCTCTCTCTCTCTCAATTCAATCCAACAGGCTTTACTGGCATGACATTTTCAATGTATTACTAAAGCACAATTACAATCATTAAATGGAATTAAATGATCAAACCCACCCTGAGTCTGGTTCTGCTCGAGGTTTCTGCCTCTTTTTCTCTCCACTGTCGCCACGTGTTTGCTCGAGAGCTGGGTCTAGACCTGCTCTATTTGAAAAGTGAGATAACTTCGGTTGTGATTTTGGAGAACACTGGAGAACTCTCTGTTTCACGTCATTAGAGCGTGAACACATGCTGCAGACTCCCAACTTCTCCCGTTACTAATGAAACTCCTGCTTAATCACACTCAGTTTCAGGTCACTATCACTCCAGTGAGCAGGTTATGTGTTTGATTAGTCTGTTAATTAGCAGGATGTCTCAGGCTGTAATTACATTTAGTGACATGGTGCCAATAAACAAGTGATTCATTAAGTGAAAATCCAGGAGTTTTCCTCATCACTGCACATGAATGAAAACGTGGTTGTGTAGACTGGACTGTGACGACACCTGAGCCTGACTCGTTACCTCATACGGTCTAATTATTCCAGTTTGATCTTGGATCATGTGTCTGGAACTTCTGCGTTTTATTTATTTTATTTTCAGTGAATTCAAATTCAGATGATCCAGATTTTGAATTCTTGGTTCAACTTGAACATGACGTTCAAACTCTCCTGGCTCTTATATCTTTCCTTTGACATGGACACGTGTGTGTGTGTGTGTGTGTGTGTGTGTGTGTGTGTGTGTGTGTGTGTGTGTGTGCAGTGTGTCAGTGGTGTGTAGTTTGAACTGTAAACATTGTGTGAAGCTCAGGTCAGGTTCAGTTCTCTGCCCCCCTCCCCCTGCAGTGATCACTCAGGTGGGCAGTGTGTGTGTGTGGGGGCGTGGCCTCTAGCTGTCCACCACCTGGTGAGGCAGAGTGACGGAGGAGCCGTTGATGAAGGAGCCCTGTTTGTCTCTTCCCTTCAGAAAGTAGGTGAGCAGCTCCCCCTTCCCCTTCACAAAGATCGGCCCCCGCCTCACAAAGCGAAAACCGTACTCCTTCAGGATGTTGTAGCAGTCCTCCACCACCTGGGGGCAAAACACACACACACACACACAGACACACGCATTAAAGTGAGTGTAAATTTGTGTAAACAGTGGGAGTGATCCAGTAAACCCAGTGCTGCACCTGGATGTTCCCCATCACCCCTGTGGACTCCATGCGACTGGCCACATTCACAGTGTTGCCCCAGATGTCGTAGTGGGGTTTCCGGGCACCGATCACTCCAGCTAAGACTCCGCCCTTATTCAGACCTGAGGGAGAGAGGACACAGGTGACAGGTGAGTTCAGACCTGTGAGAACCTGAGGAGAAGTCTCCTGCCAGTGATGGTGACGTCTCTCTCTCTCGGCACAGTTACACCTGGAGCTGCGGCTGTAATACAGGACGCAGGAGGACAAGCAGATGGATAATCCGTAATTCATTTGTAATTTAACAGTGTGCAATGTTACACTTTTATGTCCTCTTGGCTTTTGACATTTTTACACTTCAATTGCTCTTTCTGTCCTGTCCACTGTTCTACTGTTTTTGTCAAATGAGAAATGAAAAACTGAATTAGCAAAAACCAAAATTGGACTGATATTTGAATTGGATTTTCTTGCTTTTTGTTTGGAAACAAAAAACTAATAGACCACTTGAATTACTTTTTCGTTTAGAATTCAAATCAAATAAAACCATATTAATTCTGTCTTTATTTCAAACAAAATAATGATAAAAGGAATTGCCAAAAAAACAAAAACAGACAATTTTTGATTGTTTTTTTCATTTTTTGATTCTGACACTAAAAATGTTTTTTCCATTTTGGAAGACATCGTCATGTCAGTAGATCTGCCCTTTCTGGAGGCGCCTGGTTGCTCACCTGGTAGAGCGAGTACCATAAAGGCTAAGTCCTAACCACAACAACCCTCTCTCTCTGCCTGTCACAATAAAGGCAAAAGAAAAATCTGCCCTTGCTGCAGACAATGAGAATAGAGTGAATGTATCAATAATTTTCTACATGCTGCACTTTAATGGATCTTTATTTTATTAGTATATTATTTATTTATTTGAAGCACTTTAAGTCTTATTAGTAGATTGCTATGTCAATAATACCCAGATGACTTAGATATGATTTTGTTTATTGTTTTTTTTTTTGTGTGTTTATTCTTTATGTGCATCCCATTCAAAATTATGGCCAGTTTGCCACTGGGTCACAAGTTTTTCACAATAAATGAAAAGAAATGTTCTTCATGTGTTTTTTCTCACTGTACGGAAAACATACTGAACTGTGAATTAAACACCGAGGTATGTACCGAAATGTGAGTTCTGCGTGCCGTGACACTCCTGTTAAAAAGGAGACTGTGATAAACCACATCGTGTGCTTGTCTCTCAGTCTGATTGTGCGCTAAAAGATCCACAACCATGGGAAAACTGGAGAATCAAAATGGAGAGCTGCTTTCAGTTCAATTGTTATCATTAAAATAAAAACTGCCCTGACACTTGACAGTACAACAGCACACACACACACACACACGTACCAATGCGCAGCATGAAGTTGTTGAACGACTGGTAGTTGATGTTCATGAGTGTGACCTTCATGGCCAGAGCAAAGTCCGCCAGGTCCGCCAGGTGCTGCCAGCGCTCCCTGTCCGACTGCTCCTCCTTCTGTCAGACACGGACCAATCAGAAACCACCATCAGCACAACTCGCACATCATCGTCAGTGACTGTGTCATGACATCACTGAGTCATGTTGCTTTAATCAGAGACACACACTGAAGTCCAGAGAGGTCACATGACCCAGCTCACCTTCATGCAGGTGTAGCCATTGCTGACATCTGGGGTGACACCTGACGCTGCCATGTAGGTGCTGCCGATGGTCTTGATTTTAGTGATGCAGCGGAACTGAGGCTCATCCAGCAGCTGACACGGACACAGGTCAAAGGTCAAGGACATGAGGTCAAACATTTCAAACACACACACACACACACACACACACAGGACAACACTTACACTGTCAAAGTCAGAGATGATCTCGTTGAGGAAGCGCAGACACTCAATGCCTCCGTTGTTGATGCTCTCCTCTGTGTAGAAGTCAGAGAAGTTGGGGATCGAGGCGAACATGACTCCGATCTCGTCGTAGGACTGACTGTACAACTCCTGCAGGAGGTCACAGGAACAACAGGGTCAGAACCTTTGAGGAAATGTGGAACCTGGATGTTCCTGAAATCTGCAGGGTGATCCTCTAAGACACAACTATGAGCAGAATACTACATCATGACTTCTTCAACCTGATGACATGACCTCTGCAATAAACCGTAAGTGTTTCTTCTCCACACACAGGGGAAGCAGGGACTGATGTGGGTCTGTGGATGTGAGGGTCTCACCTCGTCCCTCTTCTTGGATCCCAGGAAGTGTCGGGCCACGTGTTCAGGCAGCATGTTGGTCACCAGCGCTTCGTTCCAGCGCCTCATCTCGTACACCTTCTCCTTCTGCTCATGGACCTCGATCTTCCACAGGAACAGGGTGCGGGCGAGCTTCTCCACCTTCACACAGGGACCAGGGTTAGTGCAGGTACGACCAACGTGACAATGATGTTAATGACAAACAGCTCCACTCAGACTCTGTCTCTGGAAACACTTTCAAAAGAGCAGTTTTTACATGAACCAATCATTAAAAATACCAAAGCAAATGACAAATATAAACTAAACAACTGCCCCCCCCCCATGGCAGCATCCTTCTTCATAGTGACCACATGTCCACAGTGGAGGACGTGTCTCATTCATGTGGAGAGTGGACACTATGCCAGGACAATATGTCGGCCTCCCATGTAATGATGATCAATACGATCAATCCGACTGTATCGCAGCTGTCATCGACAATGAAGACTCATTGTGTAGCATCATGTCTAACAATTAACAATTTTTAACAATTCCATTCCCTCATTTTTAAAATGCCTTTTGAAATAGTTTTTCAAATTCCATTATTTATTCATGAATTAATAAATGTATTTATAAATGGTATAAATGGACTGTTTTATGCTGTTTTTGTAAATCACTTCTTATATCTTAAGTATTGATTGATGGATTAATTGTTCATTAATAAATTCTTTTTACAATTCTTATTTTTTATGTCTATTAAAATATGAAATTAAGGAAATTGTTTTCTGCTCCTCAACAGGAGTTTAGATATTACACTGAAAATAACTGAAATAAAATATATAAATAAAACAGACTTGATGCTAAATTAATACTCTGATCACCATCACCATCATCACCACCACAGCTGCCAGTTCAGAGGAGAGTTACAGTAGATTTGTCTGAGTTTTATTGGTGTATCTGGTCACAGCTGCTTCTCCATCACTGTCTGCTACAGAGTCTTTCTGCAGGTCTGTGTCATCTTCATCATCCTCCTCTGTTACACTGTTACATCAGATCACCTCAGATATCTCTGTGACTGTCGCACCACCTCCTGACATATAAATCAGAATCACAGTAAGAGTCAATCAGGTCTGCGCTATCAAAACAGAAACAGGGCAAAACCATGTTAAATGAGGGGCCTTCATGTGCTGCTTTCATCATGTTTGTCCTGTTCATTTTAGTGAAACTACTGACATTTGGTTTTGTGTTGGGTTGATGTTTATAGCTGTGAGATTCCTCTGTTACTTTTACACTATATACTGTGTGTGTGTTGCCATAGCAACCTACAACACAATTGATTGATCATTGATTTTGTTTGTATCTCCACTGTCCTGGCATCATAAAAATCACTGAGGAGCTTTAGTTGTTATCTGATGTTTTCTGAGACAGGAGATCATGTGATCCTTCAGAGACACAGAGGAAACATGTTCAGGCAGCACCAGTACAACACTGCTAACCTTGCTAACTGCTAACGAGCAGCGGACACCGAACACGAGAACTTACATGTCGGGAGAAGTAATAGAAGCTGACCATCATAATGAAGATCATGATGGTCATGGTGAACTTGGAGGGAACCAGGTAGGACCTGCAGAGAAAAACGTGTGTGTGTTATCAAACACATGAAGACAGGAAACTAAGACCTGGTCCAGGTGTGTGAGCTCACACCAGCTCTGTTACAGCAGCTTCCTCCCGGCCTCACCTGTAGTCCTGGAAACGGGCCATGTCGTAGCGGTCGAAGATGTCCCTCCAGCTGTAGATGTTCACGATGCCGGTGGCCACGGTGATGAGCAGCATCAGTGTGAGCTTGACCATGTGACTGACCTGGACCAGCATGGTGGTAGCCATCAGAGCAAGCACAGCAATGTAGCTGTAATATTTGGGGTTGCCCAGGCAACCGTCAGGGCCGGACCGAGTGGAGGAGGAGGACGAGGAAGAGGAAGGAGCCACAGTGGTGCTACCTGAGTCTGGGACTCGAGGGAGACAACTCAGCTGGACAGAGGAGAGACACGAAGTCCGGAGATCAGGATCATCATTAACATTATTTGTAAAACTGGACTCTGAGATCCACGTCCTGTCTCAGGACTCTGAGGAGTTTCTGTCCAGGTTCCTGGATCTGGGTCCAGCTACCAGCTGATAGAATAAACACAGGCTGTAAGAGAGAGCAGAGAGCAGCTCACCATGTCCATGATGTCCGCCATGGTGAGGATGAAGATGGCCGCCATGGCCCAGGTGTTCCGGGCCCAGCGGGTGTGGTCGATCCAGGTGGAGAACGACACCAGCTTCTTGGGAAAGACCTGACACACAAACACAGTCCAGTCAGTAAACAGTCCAGTACAGCCTGTAAACCAGAACCCAGACCATTCAGTCTGACGCTGTGCGTACAGGGATGAGGTTCACATTCAAATCCACTTATCAGATCAGATGTCTCTCTCTCGCCCTCTCTCTGGAGTCGTTGAGGTTCTACTTGTAGGTGTTGCACACACTTGCGGGGGTCGTTCAATTTCCTTGTTATTGTTTATTATTGTATTAAAAAAAAAAAAACCTTACACAAACTGCCCAACATGCAACTCTAGCAACCACAAGATAGAAAGCAGTATTTGGGTGGAATAACCCTTAAAAAGCACATGTAGGACTAAAAAAAGGATTTTAGTTGGAATAAACCTTTATGGCAGCTTTTGCGATTCAGGGTCCTGGGAATGTGGTGTTGAAACTGCAGCCTCCAGTACTGCAGGAACATACAATTGGGGTACAGGTTTTAGGGTTGGGGGTTAGCACCTAAATGGAATGCTGCCATTACTCGTATTGTTACTTATTACACCTGTACTTCTCCTGCTCTGACATGTGGCTGCTAACACTGTACAGTGATCACACTCGCACGCATGTGCCTGTGTGAGTGGAAACGTTACTGCAGGCTGATGACACTGTGATATCTGATGTGATATTGATGTCGACAGTGAGTGTGCATCTTCTCAGAGCATGTGACTGACTGACTGTGACAGCAGCAGTCGATACCGTCCTGCCCGCTGCATCAATACATCTGACTTTCCATGAGGTGGAATCAACAGAACCGCTCCGAGCCCCCCAACCCACACACACACACACACACACACACACACACACACCACTTTATCCCCCTGCTCTGTCACATGTCCGTGTCCACATGTTCAATGTTTTTGAAAATGTTCACGTGTTTGATATGAACACAAAAAACAAAGAAGACATCTCCTCCTCTATCAGAGTCCACTGGAGTCTTCAAGGTCTAGATTACACATAAAGGATTTTAAAGGAATAGTTAAATATATCAATAATAACATATTATTTAACCACAGTTTGTCTCTTTTACACGGTGAGTTCATCACTGAGCTGTAGGTGTTGGTAGGTGTTTCCTCCTGCCTCCAGTCTTTGTTCTAATTGAACATATTTGTGTTATATTCACATTCACAATTTTTATAGTATTTCTTTCACATTTTTATTGTAAATATTTTATTGAAACATTTTCTATTTATATTTAAACTACCTTACCTTTACCTAACTTGTTTTTGCTTTATATTTCTTTATATTTTTTCTTAATATGTTTATTGTTATGCACCAAAACACCAAAGCAAATTCCTCGTATGTGAAAACCTGACTCTGAGTCTGCCAGGCTAACCACATCCTGACTCCAGCTCTGCACTGAACACACACAGACAGACACTGTCCCAGCACTTTGAAACCATGTTCCTCTGAGGACACGTCTGTGTGACTCGAGGACACGAGCTCATGACCAGTCAGTCAGTCAGTCAGTTCTCTAACACTGACCTGTGTTTGGCCTTAAAGTTGTAATCTGTAACTTTTCCACATTAAAATGTCTAAAAACAATTAGACCTATGTTCTAAATGTTGTTGAGTTGAGTTCTTACATTATCACAAATGTTTCCATTAATTCTCAAACCAGAGAAATCTGTGATTTTAATCATGGTAACGTTTCATTGGTCGCCTGTCAGTGACATCATATCTTCTATGATCATGTGTCAGTGTATTTTTCTGACAGAAGCTCAACATTGACTTTTATCTAGTTTTAAGCCACATACACTTTTTCCACCTTGGTGGTTTTCAGCTCTATATTTGAACCAGATGAAGGATTTTTAAGTTATCAGAGAAACAAGCTGAGGAAATGTTAGACAGCTCAGCTCCAACTCTTCTCTGAGTCTCTGTCCTCCGTACAGCGTCGCTCAAACACTAACTTTAAATGTGAAGCTGCTTTATTCAGAGTTTTTAATGGTTAGAATCACTGAAACACTGACACTGAGGGAATCCAAACCAGGAGGAGCTTAAGACAACAACTCCCATGATCCCACGCTATTTCACAACATCACCCAACGCCATCTTTTCTTATTGTTTTCATTGAGAGACCCCTAGAGGCAGAAGTTGCAGACTGTGAGTCTCCTGGTCCCCAAAAGAAACCAGACAGACTGACCTGACAGTTGTTGGCAGTCGCCACATCTGGAGAAGCTGCTGCTAACTTGCTACCAGGAAGCAGCAGGTAGTGAAAACACGACACAACCGTCAGATGTAAAAGGATAAAACGTGCTGTGACTCACTCTGGGGAAGATGGCGGCCAGAGAGCAGATAGTCAGGATGAGCAGCAGGACTTCTCCCACTGCAAAGGTGATGTAGTTTGCAATCAGCCTGTTCCACAGCACATGAACACACAGCCAGACGGTGAGAGAAGTAAACAGTGGTTAAGAAAACATATGTCACACAGAACAACATGTTAGTGAGTTGGGTTGTGATAGCTATACAAACTGAAGTGATGGATAAATGTCTGAGATCTAGAAAGAGAAGTGTGGGGAGGTTTGTTCTGGTGTCGTGGACTGACCAGGGGTCTATGAGCGCCTCCATGGCTGCAGTGAAGAGCAGGACCACACAGGAGCAGCAGAAGGCCGCTCCGCTCTGCTTCTCCTTCTCCACGGAGTAACGAGTCTCCAGGTCCGGATCCACAAACCTCAGGGAGAGCCTGTTGGTGTGTTTCCCCTTCAAACTGACGACACAAGAAAACCTCAGCTGCTACATCAGATGGAAAAGACCGCTATGACATCATCTATAGTTTACCTGACATTATAATATTATAGTAAAACACTGTGACACCACTGTGCTGTGCACTGTGTGAAAACTGTGACATTGATTTGTTTTCAGTCTTCACTTTGTACTTTTTTTTTTTTTTGGCTCTGACCAAAACCTGACCTTTGCACCAGCACCAAAAACTGAAGTAGTGAGACTGGGGTCGAGTGTCTTGTCAGATTCATCCTGATCCAGGATCAGGAGGCGGAGCAACACACTGAACACCAAGTTGCTCCTCATGGTCAGACTTGAGCCTGGCATGCAAAGGTGTGTGAGGGTGTGTGGAACTGCACTAAGATGGTTTAAGTCCTGTTTCTCACTTACGCCTGCACCGTCTCTCTCTCCAGCAGAGCCTCGTTCAGCAGTTTGTTGAGCTCCTGCTCGTTCTCCTGAGCATCGATCACTCTCTCCGCCAGGTCCCGCAGCCGCAGCCGTCTCCGCGGGTTAGGGAAGGACGGATTCACCACCTGAACACCAACAAACAAACTGCTCCGTGTCTGTGTCTAAGATTAAGTAAGTCCATTGGTCTGTCAGTCACCTGCACCTAACCTCCTCTGAACCTCATCATTTTTAAATGAAACTTGATGTTCTTGATGCTCTGAGGTGGAGACCTGGTGTTTAAAGCTACTATTGATCCACATTAATGGAAAGACTGACAGGGTGAGCTGTCAGTAGCTACTACTGCTACTGGTTAACTACACAAACTCATGTATTAGAGTTGAAACATGTGAAGATCTACTTCTAATCTGAAAAGAACTTCACGCCTGTAAATGCGGGTGTGACCAGGCTCTAAGACCCGTCAGTGTCCATCCAGTGGGACTACACCCCTCTTTGCTGTGAGTGAGGACCTCAGTGGTTACCCTGGTGTCCAGCTCGTCTGGCTCCTCCGGCGTGGTGCAGGCTGTGTTAGCGCTGCCGTTACACTCTGTGGTGTTGATCAGCAGCGGAGAGTTTCCATTGGACGAGGTCACAGACAGCTTCTGATGAGAGACGGGAAAACAGGAAGTGATCAGCGTAACGAGCTGACAGACTGTCCTCTCACGAACATGTTTATTTTCAAATCATATTCAATAAATGAAGTTATTCAAATGTTTCATGGTGTGGCTGAACATCAGACAAACGTTTGAATATCTAAATATCTGCTGTACAGGTGTGTTGCAGGTGTGTCGTAGGTGTGTTGCAGGTGTGACTCACTACACCGTTGATGCCATTCTTTCCCACAGGCCCTTTAGGGACGACCACCAGGTAGGTGTCGATGCCCCTCTCCCTCAGGTAGTCACAGCGGTCGCCTCCGTTCCCGGGCTCCACGTCAAACTCTCCATGAAGACACTCCATCGTGCTCTGAGAGATGTGGACACGACTGGTCCAACAGAGGGTCACATCGGGTTATTGATCTATCAGCAGGTTATTGATCTATCAGCAGGTTACTGATCTCATAACATAACCATCTTAACAGGTGGTTTAATGTTGCTGCACTCAGTCAGAGTCCCATTAATGAGTCTGAGTATTTCACTGAATGAATCACAGAGCAGAGGGGCCGTCTGAGACTAAAGAATAACACAGCGTAATGTTTCTCTTGTCCTATAGTAAATGCATGTCACATGACAAGACAATGACATGTGGTTGAAAGCTTTGGAAAACATTTGAGCTTGAGCTTTAATAATGATTTGATTCACTACAAATCATTGTGTTTTGGAGATATTTAGTTAAACTGTGTCTCTTATAGTGATGACCCCACAGAGACTTCGTCACCAGCTGCTCTCAGCTCCACTGATCCTTCCTCTGTTAGCTCATTGTCTTGGTCTCTCTTTGTGCGTGACTCCAGCAGTTAACATGAAGCAGCTCTTACTGATGACATCATGGTTATTATAGCAGTGGTAGCTGATGCCTGATCCCACATAAAAAGTGAAAAAAAAAAAATCAAAATCTGGGTCTGAAACTAATCTCCTCTTACTTCCTCACTGATAAATCTGGATTGGGCCTTATGCCCCGCCCACCACCTGCTGGCTCCAGGTGGACAGGTGAAAGAGCAGAGAGCATCAAGATGGTTAGAGGAGGAAACATCAGAGACTCAGCCTCATGTTTGAGCCTCAATCAGACCCAGACTCAGAGGAGGAGTCTGAGACCAGAACCAGAGACTAGCAGAGGGATCAGAGCGGTTAGCGTAGTTAGCATCTTTTATTTGTTTATGTTGTTTGTTAGCTTGTAACTGGCAGTGGCTGACACAGTGTTAGTGGTTGTGCTAATGCTAACTCTCTCTCTGTACTGACGAGGTTTCAGGTTTATTTAGCCCCGCCCCCTGTCCTCACAACTTGACAGGATTGGTTCCTGAGGTTTGTGACGTATGAAACCCTGAATCTGTTTTGGTGCTGATGATTATGTCACTCATCATATGTCTGTATTATATAAAAACGTTAACCAGTCTAAAGTTAAACACTTGTTTTTTATTAGAGGGGTCTTTAACTCCTACAATAATAAAGTTGTGGCTTAATGAAGTTGTCCATGTATTTCTCTAAGGTTTTCATTCAACCGGTCAACCATAACCCAGTCCACATGTTGAACGGTAAAGTGGTGGAACCAGGTTCAGTTAAACCAAAATAGAGAGCAGGTCAATGTTCTATATTCATGTGACCATGGGATAAAACTGTAAAACCACCACAACGCAGCACAGACACAGTTTACAGACTAACCCTAACCCTAACAGTGGACTGAAATAACTTTATTTAAACCCCTGTTGGGAGTTGAGGTTTGGTCTTACCCTGGGATCCCTCCAGCCTCCATCTTGTTGGCCACAGTGACGTCGGTGGACCAGACGTCGTACTGCCAGCGTTTCTGACCCAGCACTCCTCCCAGCACGGTGCCGCTGTGAACTCCCACCCTCATGTCCACGTCGGTCTGGGTTTTCTCTCTGACGTACCTGAGGAGGTTCACAGAGGAACACAAGGACACCATCACACGCTCAGTCTGATCAAACTGCCGCATCACAACCAATGTGATCTCCATGACCTCTCACTGCCAACCACTGTTCAACGCTTTATTTCATAGCTGAGCCAATAAGAGTCCATCAGAGGATCGATCCCTCTCTATGACCTACAGACTAACACGCTGCACCACAGCGGAGCTGACACGGTCCAGACCCTGGTCCTGGTACTCACGAGATGGCCTCCACCATGGCCAGGCCCATCATGATGGAGCAGGCGGCGTGGTCCTCCCTGTAGTCCGGCAGGCCGCAGATGCAGTAGTAGCAGTCTCCCAGGATCTTGATCCTCAGCTGGTGATATTTCTGACAGGTAGACAAGGCTCAGTCACAGACATGTAGAGAGACCAGACTGAGATCTGAACCTCCTCCGTCAGTCTCTTCAGCAGGCACAGTAAATGGAGGAGTGAGATTTGAATGGACTGTTTACTGACCTGACATTCATGACATTCACATTCATGTCAAGTCTGTAAAAGCCCAAAAGCGGTGACCTCTGACCTCCAAAGTCACTGGTCCATTATATACACTGATCTGATCCGACATTAGTTTGAATAATTGGTAAAAAAAATAAGCTGTAAAATCACAGTGTGAGGCCCAGCTACAGTGTCCTCTTATAATAACAACAACAATATTAATAATAATCATAATTTAATAATAATAACAATTTGTTACCATTTATGAATGGCTTATAACTATTTTATTAGTAAGCTTGTTAACAGTTTATAAATCATTCATAAGCTGTTATAACACATTAGATAAAAAGGGCAACTGTGATGGAACTGAGATTGCGCTGTTGTAAAAATCTCAATATAAACAAAGATCATTCATTCATTTCTTCATTAAGGCCATAAACGTCTGTTTGGTGTTTATGGAAAAAAAAACTGTTTAATTACTGCTGCTCAGTCCGTGTTCTGTCTGTGATCAGTGTAAAGCTTAATGTTTTTTCATCAGTTATTCTACTAATATTTGTCAAACACTGAAGACGACTGTCACTCTGTCTTCAGCAGGACACAACCTCTCAGCTGATCACACACATACAGATCATGCGGGAATGATGCAGACATCATGCTCCTCACATTGTCTTGAGCGAATCACAACTTGTTAATCAGAATATTTTATCAGAATCAAACATGAATATGTCTGGACTTCAGTCTACAGTCTGGACTTGAGCAGCAGGGGCTTATGGGAAGTTGTGCAGTCATTCATGGGAATAAGAACACATCCAGCAACAGACCGGACCATGAACACCAGCTTCATCACCTCTGTCTGGCTCATCTCATCATTTTCTTTTTATGTAACTGTGACTTTGTCTAATTGTTTTAAACGGTCAGAAATCATTCAGATGACAGAGTCTCCACACTCATCAGAATGACAGATCATTTTCCTGCAACCTGATGTAACATCATGTTAATTCATGTCTGTATATAACAACTGGACCATGTCAGAGTCAGATGATGGTTGTGAGGTAACGGAGAGAGAACTCACTGCGGCCAGTTTGTCGAAGCGAGCGAACAGCTCGTTGAGCAGTTTGACCAGCTCCTGAGCGCTGCAGGACGACGACAGCTGGGTGAAGCCCACGATGTCTGCAAACAGAATACTGACACACACACACACACACACACACACACACACACAGATCAAAACCTGTTCCAGTGTTCATGTGGCCATCTCACTGCTGTTTTAAGTGTTGAAAATGTGTGAACTGGTCCTTTAAGTCCCTGAAACATCTGTGCACTCATTGATCCACAGCAGCCTCATGTTCAGGTTGCTGTGTTGATGTGTTGCTTCCTGTACCAATACAGAAACGCTTCCTGTCTATCTCCACAGCTGACTGACACCAGAACACAAACATGTGTTGGGTTCAGCTAACTCTATGTAACTCACTGGGCTCTATCTTGAGCAAGTGTCTTTGCTTCGGACTGATGCAGTTGTCATTTTCCCGTCCAGCGCCCACGTTGTTTAAATAGCAAACACACACGCACACCGCTATCTTCAGTCTGTCTATCAGTGGAAAGTGATTGACCTACAAAAATCTGGTCTGAAGTCAGTGGTGCAGTATTTTCACTGTCAAGAGAGTGATGTGTGTCAACATGCACGGGCGCACAGAGCTCATACACTCCTGCCTGTTACACACAAGCAGAGTGAGCTGAAGATGTGCTTAGATGTTGAGATGTCAGGTGGAACATTACAGCACAGCCTCAGAAGGTCGGAGCCTCTTTGTGTCATGTTGTGTGTTGTGTAACGCTGTCATGTGTCATGATGTCTCTTGGACGAGACTCTGCAGAGAAGTGTTCTTTCTTACTACCTAAATCCTCCGCAGTGTTTCCACATTCATCACCTCAATTTGTCACCACAGTTTCATAACAAACCCAAGATTTATTCACACTTCTCATCATATCACATCAAATATTTCTAATGTTGTGCCGTTGCTGCACTGTAGAGCTGTGAGCAGAGCGTTGATTCGCTCAGCCATTGTTCACCCCTCAGAGTCACAGAGCTGCTGCCTTTGTCAGGACCGGTCTAACTGGTCAGGACTGGACTCACTGGTCAGTCACAATATGTGATCAAATGACCACAAATAGAGTCTAACTCTAGAGAATGGGAGATGGCACTGTGATTGGTTTATTGGATGTTAGGCCCAAAACACTCCCATGATAAATTAAGAGATTAAGTACAACCCTTCTGAACCATGTGCCTGGAGCAGCGACCGTTTTTCCACTGTTAAAATAGCAAAAGTGACGTGGACATGCACACACACACACACACACACACACACACACACACACACACACACACACACACTAACCTGACCGTTGAGCAAACACGCCACAAGCAAACTTGTTGTGGCGGTTAAACAGGTGAGACAGACAGACAGAGGGAGCAGGTTACCTGACGTTTTCATGTCTGTACATGTACATGGTGTTGAACTGCTGCATCTCTTTCTGACTGGGCTCCTTCTTCATGTCCTGCAGCATCTCGTCAGCAATGTGCTTGGGGAGGATGGAGAGCAGCAGACGCTCCTGTGGAGGACAGACAGACACACACACGGACCCGGACTTCATTACAGATCTGGGGCCAGTTTCACAAAGATATTTCAGACTGGTGTGTAGTGTTGGTCCAGTCTTAATGTTGCTCATGGATCAGTCCAATGTTAGAGTGTTTCACAAAAATAAAGACTGACTCATTTTAAGCCAAAAACATTAGACACCTTACCTCCAGGCTAACTCAGGCCTAAGACCAAAGTTACCATTCAATCCCTTCAAATGTGGCACAAACATTAACTTGGTTTAAAGGACAAACTGATTAGATTTTGGTGGCCAAAGGTCAAAGGTCACAGTGACCTCAGAAAACACTTGTCACTATGACAAAATTTGTCACAAATGGTTCATATTTCATATGACTGGATAAACAGGGATGTAACCTGAAAGTAGTCTGTAGTGCAGGAGACATACAACCAGGAGGAGGTGATATTAGTTTACCTGTTGCACATGACTCACACAGCGATGGCAACAGGAAATGATGCTGCTTCCTGGTCACCTGACCAGAAAACAGCTGCTAAGACTAAAATATAGAAACAATTATAACAGACACAGACCAGAGTTAGATTAGGAGTCAATACATAAATCATTTATAATTGTTTTTACTACAGCATGAAGGAGGTGTGAACAGCCATCTGTGTTTACAGAAGCTGAACACATACACACACACACGTGTGCACGCGCGCACACACACGTGCACACACACGCGCACACAACCACATGTGCACACACACGCACGCGCGCACACACACACACACACACACACACGTGAGCAAACACACACACACACACACACACACACACACACACACACACACACACACACACACACAGGGTTCGTGGAGAGGGGGTGGGGCCGAGGGGGCAGCATGACAGCTTTCAATATTCTTATCAAAAACCTGAAAGAGAGGCAACAAACGCTGAGCGGGTTGGCTCTGTGATTACAGCTGACACTGTCTCAGGAGGCCGGTTGCCATGGTAACCAGCAGCCACCGGATGCTCCTTGATTGGTTGACGGCCCTCGTCTCCCAGCAGCTCGTGCTTCTCCATTAGTATTCTGGGAGTTTCTTCCACTCATGGTTTTATCAGTGCTCTTGTTGTCTCACAACACCTCTCTCTCTCTCTCTCTCTCTCTCTCTCTGTCTCTTTCTCCTCTGGTCTTTCACTTGCTCTCTGTGGTATAAACCATCTGTTCCATAAATAGCAGTGATGGAGAAAACCCAGAGGCCACAGATGTGATGCGAGGAGGGAGTTGACTGCTGACACAGTACCAGCTCTCTCTCTCTCTCTTTCTCTCTCACACACACACACACACCCACACACACACACACACACCCACACACACACACACACACCCACACACACACACACACACGCAAACACACACCTCCAGACCAGCCTGTTCATGTTAGTTTTTTGTTAGCTTCGTCTCTTTCTCTTAGCTAGTGCTACGGTCAGTGTAACAGACTGAATCTAACATGATGATGTTTTGCAGGTTGCTAACCAGTTATTCACTAATTTAGCATTTAACACAGCGTACAGCTGAGGTTGATGGGAATGTATCTATGTTTGCTCAAGCCAGTGGATTAATTTGTCATCTGAGAAACTCTAGTAGCACTAACACTGACATTTATTTTAATTGCAAACTTCATGTTTGCTAGCCTAGCATTAGCTTACAGTGTTTCCAGTTTGAGCCAGTCTTACTTTCAACATCTGGCAAATACATCTGCTCATTTATCAGTTTGGTCAAAGGAAATGGAAGGTAAACAAGTCAAGGTTTTTAACCATCTCACCGTTCTCGCACAGGATTTATTCAGAGACATTGAAGTGGTCAAGGCTTCCCACACTCAGTGTGACGTTAGAGGAAAATGGCCACCATGAATATGGTTTAAGCAAAAACAAACGGGACTTTTGAATGAACCTGATGACTGGACAGAACACCTGACTGGCTGAAACACGCTGTTCCCAGGTCCTTCTATTGTTTGGTTTCAAGGTCAGAGTCACGATGTCATCCAGGTGTAAGAGTTTGGGCTCCCACTGATTTAAATCAATCTTCATTTAATTAATCTGTTATCAATTCATAAAATCCAGATGTCAATCTTTTAACAGTTGCCTTTTACAGTCTCCTGTGGATGTGTGAAGCTGTGACCCTGACCCTTCAAACCCAAACAGATCTGGTCACATGACAGACAAAAACATGGCGAAGGTACAGTAGCTCCACTGAGGGTGCAGGTCTAACGGCAGAGATGTGGTTGGATTTCAGATTTAAAAACTATGAAGACAAATATTATCGAATACTGGGCAATATATTAAGGAGGCTGAGGGGAAATTTATTCAGCATAAGATAATACATAGGTTTTTATTGTACTCCTTCTAAGCTTCACAGGATGCGTTTACTGACCAATGATTTATGCTGGAAGTGGCAGACAGAAATAGGAATATTTTTTCATGCAATTTGGGAGTATAAACTTGTTTATCCATTTGGGGAAAAAATACTGGAATACATAGGAGGTGGGTGGGCTTGATGACACCTGTATGGCCAAGACTTTGCTTACTGGGGGACCAAACAGAATTGCCCATTATATCAAAATGAGACTTTACAGTGATGAGGGGTGGAGTCATCACGGCTGCCTGAGTGATCCTCAGATTATGGAAAAGTACTTCACCTCCAGATCTTAAAACAGAGTCTATGCAGGAGATAGTATCATATAAACATATGTTAGCTAAAGTTAATGGTAAAGGTAAAAACTCTAAGAGACCTTGGGATGGGTTTTTTTGCTCACAGTATGAGTAAGACACTGTGATCTGCTTGTACTACTTTAATTGCTAAATGCTTATTCTGGTTGTTTTAAATATGTACATTTACCATGGGCCTTTGAATATCTCATTACCAAAGATGATTATAGTGCCTATGAAGACAGTGAAAAGCTGCAAAAGCAAAGCTATATGTAAGATGTGAAGAAGAAGAAGCTGTGTGTACCTGTTGGTTCACACTGTAGCTTGCGCACAGGGGTATGTTAGCATATTACATGACACACATTACTGACCTACTTCTTGAGATGTGTCTAAACTGTTGGTCTCATTAAATTGAGAGTGCATTAATGTAACATGAATATTTGTCATAATGCACCAGGTTAGAGGATCAGTAGTGATACTGTGTTCTGACTCTGGACACATGCCGTAAGGCTCATTCACACACATAGACACCAGAAGGTTTGACCTCTGACCTGTTGCTGGCTCTGCTCCTCTAGGTTGAGTTTGACCTCCAGTGACTGCCTCGCCTCCAGGAAGGCCTTCCGATGCTTCCTGTCAGCCATGTAGTACGACATGACGCCCACGGTGATCGCACACACGTAGATCACGATGTTGGCCAGCAGCTAGAGGCAACAAGAAATCAGCAGTCAGGGCTCCATGTTAAATGAATACTCAGTGTAATAAGTGGACACAGCAGAGGGTTTGAGGATGGAAACTTTCCCACAAAGTTTCATCCAGAGAACTAAAGACTTTACTCTGCTAAACACACACTCCTATGTCCAGACTTGTTGTGGTGCTTTTAATGACATCACTATGACCCACTCTCTGTCATACTGTGGTAAATATCTTGGCTGCACTGTTTGTCTCAGAACACCATGAAAAAAGTATCTGCTTTTATGATTAATTTAGTTTTAGAAATTCAGAATTTTATTGGACTAGAAATGGAGGAATCTATCTGAACCTGAGGAAGAACAGTATCCAGTGTTTTTAGATGAAGCTTCAAACATTGTGGAACTAACACCTGGATAATTTACAGACACACACCAGGGTTTGTTTTCACTGACTATTATTGTATTTTATGGAATGCCATCTGAATCAATATTAAATAAATACATAATAAATACAGCTATGAAATAAATCCTGAAGTACATAAATTAGGTAATAAATGTAAGAATATATAAATAAATGTAAATATAACTATATAAGCGATAACTTTATAAATGAATAAATTAATATGTGAATAAATAAATCGTTTTTTTCAATATTAAAAAATTACCTTTTTTATTTATTTTATTTATTATTCATTTATTTGATTTTTATTTAATATTTTATTCCAGATTTATATATTTTTGGAGACATAAAATAAAAAATAGAAATAAAAAGAGCTGGGAAATAAATGTGGACTGTGGAAATAAAAGTCTCCAGAAATAAATAAATGTGGAATTATAAAATAAAAGTCCCATGAAATACATAAAAAGGTCATTTAAAAAAAAAAGCTCTTTATTTATGTATTAATTTATTTATTTTCTCATTTGTTAAGCTATTTATTTATTTATATATTTATTAATTCATTTATAAGCTATTTATTTATTCATTTATTTATTTATTTACTCACTTATAAATTTCTATTTACTTTTATTTATATATTTCTACATGTATTAACTAATTTACTTATGTCAGGATTTATTTCATAGCTATATTTATTTATTTAATATTGATTTAGATGGCATTCCATATTTATTGTGTTTTTCACTCATAGACCTGGTGATCTGAGCACATGGATCTGAGCGACAGTTTACAAATCAGAGGGCACAGATTCTGAGAGCACAGCAGGTTTCTAAACCCACAGTGTAAACATTTACATATGGATCTCTTGCTTCCCCACTGGCCCCTGGGGGGCGCCGTACGTCCGTACACTCAGTGTGTTTCTGTAACAGGTCATTTGTGTGAAGTTGTTTGGATGATGCGCTCAAGAAATCTGCAGGCCGGATTAACACAGACCAAGAGAAGCACATTCAGAACAAGCACTGAACGAGTATTTTAGAAAACAGAACAGAATATTTTTCATACCCTCTTTTCTTTTTTCTATGCTTAACCTGGAAATGACTAAAATTAAATTCCATACTTTTCCATACAGTGTAGGAAGCATGAATTCCTCTGAGCGATTTATGTAGAAAGAATGTGATCCAGAAAACTCGGTGAAAAGAATGAGGTTAATACCAAGTATCCACCTGCTGCTGCAGCTCACATGTAGCTGGACCTTAACCCTCATCATGGAGCTGATTCCTGTACGGTGCAACAGTGTTTCCCAGTGTTCAACTATCCCATCGTAGTCTTTGTGCAGCTGTAGCAGCTGCTGTATATCAACTCCTTCATAAAAGGGAAATACCGGAGGTCGAAGTTCACGAGTTGAGTCCATAAACCATGAGAACAGAACAGTCCTTAAATCACATCCATCCCATAAACCACCTGTGCGCTGAGATTATCTGATGCATTTAGACAAACTCTGGTTCTCAGACTCCTGGAACTACAAATACCGTTTCTTTTCTCAATTTAGGGGAAAAGTGAAGAGAAACATCTGTTGAGACTAAACAGTTTGATGGTTGGTCATTTTGACTCTAGATGTGTCACCTTTTATCAAACAGCCTCTTAAGGATAAAAGTTGTCCAGTGCTGCAGTGACAGCTGTAAACTGTCTGAAACCTTAAAGACGTCTCTGATGAAAATCATGTTTTGAAACTTGTTAACATCCATGTTTTTTTATGTTTTTTATATAATACAGACATATGATGAGTGAAATAATCATCAGCACCATGACTGAGTGTTTCCACCTTGAACTGCAGTGAACCAATGACAGTCTCATAAAAACAGATTCAGGGTTTCATATGTCACAAACCTCAGGAACCAATCCTGTCAACCTGTGAGGACAGGGGGCGGGGCTAAATAAACCTGAAACCTCGTCAGTACAGAGAGAGAGAGTTAGCATTAGCACAACCACTAACACTGTGTCAGCCACTGCCAGTTACAAGTGAACAAACAACATAAACAAATAAAAGATGCTAACTGCGCTAACCGCTCTGATCCATCTGCTAGTCTCTGGTTCTGGTCTCAGACTCCTCATCTGAGTCTGGGTCTGACTGAGGCTCAAACATGAGGCTGAGTCTCTCTGATGTTTCCTCCTCTAACCATCTTGATGCTCTCTGCTCTTTCACCTGTCCATCTGGAGCCAGCAGCGTTTTTTTTTCACATTTTATGTGTGAAAATCATGTTAAACAAAATATGAATATATCATAGCAGCTAATTTTTATAGATTTGAAAACATGTCTGGAGGAGCTTTAATACTGTACACAGGGGCCACTCCTCACTGGGTAACATGTGTGAGGGCTCAGTGCGTCTGAATTTTCTACAGCTGCTGTTTCTCTCTCTGCTCAGTGTTAACATGTATCCAGGTTTACAGACCACGATCATTGTTAATCATCATCATCAGACAGTGAGTGGTTGTTTCCACAGCTTCACAGATCGTTGTTCTACATTTTTCTTAATGTGAAGAAAACCAACAATGTGTTGGTCTTATGGTTCGATCCTTAAGTTTTCTCTGCTTCAGGGGCAGGTGGAGGTGTTTGCCCAGAGCATCAGTCATTGTTGTGTTTGCAATACAGAAGTCTTCCTCTCTATCTCTTCAAATGAGTACAAGAAGAAGAAGAAGAAGAAGAAGAAGAAGGAGCACTTTAACATCAGGGAAATCTGACTCTGCATTTATTCCATCCATATATACCATATATTGGATCCTGCAAGTATACACAAAACTACTCCAGCTGTTTGGAGGGAATGTGGGGAAAATTTACGCTGATTATGCACATATTTTTTATACATGTAAAAAACTTGCACCACGAAAAAACAAATATCCTTTTAGGATACCGCCCCAAAAGCCTGCAAAAGGAGGAATTATATTTGTTTTGGATTATGAGAATTACAGCTCTTAGCAAATAACAAAGGGCTGGAAAACGTGGGAACCTCCCAGGGTAAACAACTGGTTAGAAACAGTGGAAGATATAATATATATGTAAAAGGGAACTTACAAAGTCAATAATATGAAAAGAAGCTGGGAAAAAATGGGCCCTCTTCAAATTGACTAATTATACTTGATAAAAATGTCAATGAAACATCAGACAGATCATGTTTGAGATGATTTAAGTAGTATACGATAGACAGTAACATAAAACCAAGCTAAAATGAAATATTAAAGCCTTTTATCTGTTAAATACATTTATTTATTATAGTATATCTATATATATATATATATATATATATAATATATATATATATATATAATATATATGATATCATTAGTTATCAGTAATTATCTATATTATACAATATAATCGATATATATATACACACATGGTTATGTATATGTATGTCGGTGCATTTGTGCATAACTAATTTGTACATGGGTACTTGATCGTATACACACACACATATGTATATATATATATGTATATATATATATATATATATATACACATATATATATATATGGAGATACACATCATGATCAGTAACAACTATACTGTCGCTCACCCTATTGCTTTATGTGTGCACTATGTTCTAGGTTTAAACACTTTTAAGGTTAAAAGGTTTGTGTCAAAATGTTTAAATAACAAGAAATGTAGAATGTTTCATTGACATTAACTGGCACAATAACGAATAATAATAAAAAAAAACAAAGTTAGTTCCTGTTTCGAAGAATATCTGATAATGATCATTAGATTTTAAAATATAACACTGATGAAGCGACACCTGTTTCACTACAGCTGTTTTCATCTGACACTGTGAGTCCAGCTTTTCTCTGTTGTGAACTTTCAGTCAAAGCCACAGTGAAGCAGTGAGCAACAGACAGTTTGAACGGCTCAGAGCTTGTACAACACCTTCAGCTCAGTGCATCGGAATGAGCTTGTTTGTTTCCTTACAGCAGAAATGGTTGATTTGCTTATGTACACACGGTGTTAGTGCATGGAGGTAAAAGGTGAACATGAAGCTATGAGACCACTGAGTAGAATAGAAATAAAACCACCGAACATGCCTGCTGATATAAGCTACAGCATCAGATCCGGTCCTCAGCTGTGTGGCTGGGACCTCGGTCTCATCAGGCTCAGCTTGGGCTGGAGAAAATCTCTTTAAACCATTTACAGTGTCTCATGTACAGAGTGGAGAAGAAACAGACATCTGCCGTTATTCATTTATAAAGCTCTTGTGTTAAGGCTTCCAAACTCCCTCACATCTCCTCCCTCATTTGAATCCAGTATCCACAGAACACAATCCAGAAACCACTCAACCCTCGACATCACTCATGTTCGCACTAATGTTGGCAGAACATTTCTCCTGGACACTTTCAATCTTTATTATTTGATGTATTTTATGATTATTGTAAATGTTTTTGTTGATTCTTTGCTTATTAGTTTCTTGTATCGTGTAGCTCTGGTGTTGTTGATTGTCTCTTGTGACTGCTTCCTGTTCTCAGGTCTCTCTTGGAAAAGAGATTATAATCTCAATGAGAAAATAAATAAATAAATACATAATTAGAACAACAAAAGTATTTTGATAATACCAACTGAAATGTGTCCATAGAAGAGCATAAAGAAGCACAGAGAGCTTTGAATGTCAGATTATGAATGACTGATTCTTGGATCAGATTTGAATCATTATTTTCCAGTTTGATATTGTCTCTGATTAGAGCTGCTTGTGTTTAGATCAGATGTAACATTTGGTTTCTGTTGTTAAACATCTTTATATTTATTTTTTTCAGCTGCTGTTTCCAGGGTGACGAATCAAACTGTCTGGATAAAATTTGGTCAGGATGGATGATGGTCAGTATCATGAGCAAACTCATGGTTAAAAGCTCCAGAACTTGTAAGTAAGCGGACCATGAGTCGAGGTTGATTTGTCAGAAGTGTTGTTTTAATATCAGTACCAAAGCTCGGTCTGTAGCCCTGAATGTGGCCGTTAGAAACCCTGAGAATGCAGCTCACACACAGGTAAGTAAATGCATGTCAGGACCACCCCATCTCCCTGCTTACCTGTCTGCCAAGCGCAGCCCCCTGGACCTCCTCCTGCTGATGCTGGGCGATGGTGACGCCCAGAACCAAAGTGTGGACCCCGCAGGACACAGTGGTGATGAGCACGATGGGGGTCAGCCTCAGAGGCAGAGTCAGAAAAAAGGAGAAGCTGAAGAAGGCCTGCCAACCCACAGTGTCACTGGCCTGGTGGAAGCGAGCATAGTTCAGACCCAGGTAGCAGAATATCTGCGCCGCTATGAGCACCCACAGGGCGTAGGGCACCACCCGTCTGGAGATGCGGTCTGGCAGCAGGCCGAAGCGGCACAGCAGGTAGAGGATAATATCTGCAGCCAGTCCCACTGAGGCCACTAGGACAGACGCCAGCTTGTCAGTGGTGTAGACCACGGCACACATGATGATGATGTAGCTGTCGAAGAGGGCGGCGAACACGACCAGCACCAGCAAGGTCTCGTGTCTCTGCCGCCTGAAGTAGGTCTGGTACAGGTTCTCCAGAGACTCGGGTGCGAAGGTGAGGCGCATGAACCGCGGCAGACAGAGGCAGCATCCTGAGCTCCGCACCGTGACCTCATGTGTCCGCCCCACCGCCTGCCCGGGGTCTGAGGGCAGCGTCACGGAGCAGTCCGCCGAATACTCTGCCGAGTACTCGGGCTCAGAGAAGGCTCGGTTCCGGGGCATGGTGGAGTCGGAGCGTTTGTTTCCTGTCCTCTCCTCTATGAAGAACTGTTAAAGCTGTTTGTCCCGCAGGAGGCAGACCTCACTCTCAGGTGTGCATCACCTGCTGCTCGCTCTTCTGCTCAGTAACCGCCGTCGTCCCCTGAGAGCCTACATGAATCACAGCAGAGTGTTGATTGTCTGGACCCGTGCTCTGCAGACACGTCCTCTTACATAGCTGCGTCCCTCACTGCTGTCATTGACTCAGTCGTGTCACAGATCGAGCACGCCTACTCTCCGTCAGCGGCGTGAGAACGTGCACTTTTTAACTTCCTCGTTCAGCTTCACAGACGGGGCTGCTGCACCAGCTCCTCTCCACCTGTGCGCTCCACACCTGTGAACCATGTCACTGGATCAGCTGGGTTTCTGTGTGTGTGACTTCCTGCGTCTCTGTCACTCCTCGGGGTTGGGCAGCATGTTGAATGTTGGCCTTCCATGGTCCCGCCTCACATGGCCTGAATACAGAGGAACAAATGAGGAAAAGGAAGACCATGGCTGAATCTCTCACCACACACACAAACAGCAGCACCTGATGATCAGGTACAGCTCATTCCCTGAGCCCTGCAGCTGGATCAGACCACATCCAGCTGTTTATCATAGTCTCTCTCTTCCTGCCACCGTCACTACATCATTTCATTGTGAGAGACTCCGGCCTACATCCAAACACCAAACATCGGGGTTTTTCCACTAAATTTTCCCTTGCATCCTTTTCTTTACCTTCATCAAAACATCCCCTGACAATGGAACAAATTCAGGCCTAACATTTACAGCTGGTGTTTTCATATTTACGCCGAATAGAAAAATGTCTCCCAAGCTTTGTTAAAAACATCAGTGATGTGTTGTGATGTTTGGTCTGTACCGATGAAACAAGGCGGCGGTAAACTGCCACATTTGTCTTCGGAGTGTCTCACACCGGGGCCGGGCTCCGAGCTGAGGGCCTACCGAGCTACATGTTGCGCTCAGTCACACACAGTGAAAACACTGAGACGTTAACACAGTGACATACGGGATCAAACCTGTGTAAACAGCTGCTTCAGCCGCTCCAACCGTTAACATGTAAATCTGACTGCATATGGTTTTCGGTCCAGTTCCAGAGTCCGCTGTCTCACGTCCATCCAGCTGCTCTGCTGGACGCTGACATTTTGTCCCTGGTACTTCAGCTGTTTTGGAAACCATGAAGATGATCCAGACTGATGCAGACGCTTACCTTCAGTCAGAGCCAGATTTCCCTCTCCTCCGGGCGGCAGCGTTGTTCGCTCAGACCGGCGTGAGGACGGGGGGGGACACCGGGCCGCCGGAAGCAGCCTCAGCCTGGAGGAACTGATGAAGATGGCTCAGAGAAACGGGGCCGACATATCCACAGACCCCCACTCCTGTCTCTGTTGGTCCTGGGTGTTTTCCGCAGAAGACACGGAACAGTCACCGTGAAGCTGCACAACGTTACAGCAAGACTTCCGGTCACCTTCGAAATAAAAGCTGTGTTTGCAAATGTAGCGTTTTCACCCCGTCTCAGGGTAACAGAGAGAATGAATCTAAATCACATTACATCTGTCACATTCATAACAACCTACAAAGTTTATTTTATTTTATTTTGTATTAATTTTCTCTCATTATCAAACTTGTTTTCGGTGAGGCAAGGAGGGTGATATAACGTAATACATAACAATCTCAGTGAAGCTTCACAGTCTGTTCAAGATGTTGGAATCAGTTATATACAAAATAAAACTCATCTCAGGTCAATGTACCAGCCTGTCATGGACATGATAGATAGATAGATAGATAGATAGATAGATAGATAGATAGATAGATAGATAGATAGATAGATAGATAGATAGATACTTTATTTATCCCCTAGGGGAAATTAATGTGTCCATTATCTCATTGTTGATAATAATAATAATAATAATAATAATAAAAATAATAAATACAGTTAATAATAAATAAACAATAATAACTAGATTAGTCCACTTCCTGTGGCTGAGGTGTTCTACAGCCTGATGGCAGTGGGAACAAAGGATCTCCTGAACCTCTCTGTTCTGCAGTGAGATGAGACGTTTGCTGCTGTAGCTGCTTCTCTGTCCTGCCAGAATGTTGTGGAGAGGATGGTTGGTATTGTCCAAAATGGCCTCCATCTTACATTGCATGTGTCTCTCCACAACAGTCCTGAGTGAGTCCAGACTCCTGCCAAGCACAGACCAGCCTTTTTGACCAGCTTGTCCAGTCTCTTTGTGTTCATGTCAGACATGCTGCCGCCCCAGCAGACTGCAGCATAAAAGAGTACACTGGCCACCACTGACTGATAAAACATGTGCAGCATTTCACTGCAGACGTCAAAGGACCTGAGCCTCCTGAGGAAAAAGATCCGGCTCTGCCCCTTCAGGTAGATGGCGTCTGTGTTCAGGGACCAGTCCAGTTTACTGTCCAGGTGCACACCTAGGTATTTATAAGTGTGCACCACCTCATTGTCCTTCCCTTGAATGTTGACTGGCTGAAGGGTGGGCCTAGACCTCCGAAAGTCCATGACCATCTCCTTGGTCTTGGAGATGTTCAGAAGGAGGCAGTTCTTGTCGCTCCATTCACTGAAGGACATTGTCAGATCCCTGTACTCCTCTTCCTGCCCGTTCCTGATACACGCCACAATAGCTGTGTCATCTCAGTATTTCTGGATGTGGTAAGACTATGTATGTATATTATACACACAAACTGAGAAAACTACATTTGGTGATGAAGACCTTGAGGTGTGGTTGAAAGCGATAATAGTGGACCTTGAGTTGAGATTTATTCTGTCATGTCAGCTCAGATGTAAGAGACCACTGAGTCGACTTCATGAGCTTTAAAACTTCATTAACAGTCTCTTTTACTGTGACAAACTGTGAAACTACAGACAGCCTAATGAATAAAACCACAGTTTCTTATTACAGGTCTGTAGTAAAGTAAAGTCCAAGGTCTCAAAAACAAGTCGAGCTTCAGCAGATAACGTGGAAAAAAATGTATATGTTAAAAAAAAACAGTCGTAACAAATGTATTTGGATATTCATTAATGCGCTAGCCATTTTTTTTTATTTCGAAGGTACATATCGAAAGGCTTCCGCTTTTACCCTGACGTTTTCTGTCTAACTTGACTCTGCCGCCTCTCCGTGTCCACATTTTCTCCCCCTGAATCCCCGCCTCCTGGAACCATCACCACCCCTCCCTCCACCCCCCTGGAGGTGAGGGTCACAACAAGATGCTGTTTAGAAAATGGTCGGAGCGGGAAAGTTAGTAACCTTAGTAACCTGAGTAACCTTAGTAACATCTGTACGTGTGTGGATGAAGTTGATTTGGTGCCTTGCTCATGGACACTGACGTCAGCAAGGTTCAACAGGTGTACCAGGAAAAGTCGCCCTTGTCAAGGCATGCACGCACGCGCACACACACACACACACACACACACACACACACACACACCCACACACACACAAAGCCCTTGTGTGGTATCCATTAGGAGCAGGGACAGGAGCTGGGGACTGAATCACCATCCTGACCTGCTCCTCCTGGAGGTTTAGTTCATGACCTCTGAGATGACTTCAGACCTGCAGGATGGTGACCACTCAGCAGTGGTGTGGACTCTGCTCAGAATTTTGATGCATGCAGGCACTGAAAAAAAAATCATACACTTTGTCTCAGTTGACCTGTGACAGTGGTGGTGTTCGCTGCCCCCCCCACCCCCCACCCCAGCCTTCTTGATCCAAATTCAAGGTCACCAGTAGGTCTGAGCAATATGGACAAAAAGTCATGTTGTGATTATTTTGGCAGATATTGTGATATGAGTCATGATTTCAGCTGGACTGGGCGTTTTTGCATTTCACTTAAAAAAAATATGAAAATGAGGATGATGTGATTTTTGTTGGGTCTTGTACCAAACAGTCATGTTCCTTTACATGTGGAGAATATGAATTGTATTCCGGGGTGTCTCTGTAGCACCATAACACTTTATTTATGGTCTGTTGTTGTGAGTGACACATTTTACCTTTATCAAAACAAATGAAGCTCCATACTACACTTGGCCATATTGCAATTTTGTTAACATTTCAATGAATTGTTCGGCCCTAGTGACCCGTGGGCCACCTGCCAAATGTACAGAAGAGGATTAGGGCCACATGTGCAAAAACATATATTTTTTTTAGAATTCTGAATTTAAACTCAGAAATCTTGATTGTTAATCTTCTGATGCGCTTCAGTACAAATGGGTTTAAGATGGAAACAACAAGAACAAAAACATTTGACTGGACGTCACGTCTTCCTTGTTCTAACAGGAGAATCATGGCAGATCACGACACTTAATTGAGGTGAGACGTGTTGCTCATCATGTCTCTGTGCAGGTTGACTTAGTCTACATTGTGGTGAAGCTGATGTAGCTGCACAAACTTACAAGACACTGATGGCACATGCATGTGTGCACGTGGAACCAGCCTGACACCAGCTCCTCTCAGTGACACCGCAGTGCCAGCAGGCCTGTATTGATTGTTCCACTTGTTCCACTGATGCTAATACAGAGTGTTGGCCATCGATCAGCGTCCCAACCCGGCCGTCAAGGTCACACTGAAACCGACACATACTCATGATGTGCTCGTGGATTAAGAGAGCAGACATGACAGGAACATGTCACCTTCAGTCTGAGGAGTCACACTGAATTATCCTTTGTTTCAGACGTGCTGGAGTCCACAGGGACCCACCAGGCCTGTGGATGCACCGTCACTAATTAATTTACCTCTGGATTCCCCTAATGATGTTACAGTGGGAGCTGGATTACCACAGAGAACAGCCGGCTCTATAATTAATAAACTGTGTGCTTCAGCATGAGGAGCCAGGAGATGATTATGTGTTGGATTAAAGTTCGCTGCATCGTTTGACAGCTGACAGATCAGACAGCCCTGAGTCTGAGGAGGGAAATGCTGGAATGGTTTTTCTTTCATTTATCTATGAATGAATGAATGAATGAACTTTATTTATACAGCACCTTTCATGCAAATAATGCAGCTCAAAGTGCTTCATGATAAAAAATGGGTTTATCATACATGTACAAAAGGAAGGTTTGTGCATGTGGTTAAAAACAATAACAGCCAATGTTATTATAAAATAGCACTTATGAAATAGCACAAAGCTGTTTAGATAAAGGAAGACTGCTGTTAGTTCTGTTAAAAACATATGTTTGAGTTGTTTAAAACTGTCCACTGTATCAGCAGGTCTGATATTGAAAAGCAGAGTCTTACATATTTTTGGGGCTAAAAATAGAATCTCCAATGGTTTTTGTGGTGACCCTGGGAATATTTAAAAACGCAGCTGTGGAGGATCTCAGGGTTCTTGGAGGATCATGGGGAGTCATAGATTCTGTGTTGTAAGAGGGGGCAAGGCCATTTAGTGCTTTAAATGGCCCCAAACCACCACCACATTCAGGCCAGGAAAACACTGCCTGCCTTGCATGTGTGTGGCGACTGTGGGACGTCTTGGTTTTCATTTCAGTGCCTGTGTTAAGAGATTACAGCGGCCATACTGCCTGAGACGTGTGTCTCACACCTCCCCAAATGTGGTTCCCAGCGAAAAAGGAACAGGGAAAACATCTGTTGCTAGTCATATTGACATCATACCAGCAACATTACTTAAAACTGACACCTTTCACCATAGTTTCAATTCCAAGCTTTACCTGAATATGTCACATATATGAAAAAATTATATTTTTTAGCCATTTCAGCATGTGGAGACAGTGGAGGCCGCATGTACTATAGTCATAGCAGAGTACCAGTGTAGGCTGTAATTATATTATGTCAGTAATTTAACAGGTGATGGGCAGTAAATTTTTTTCTGGTATGCTCTCTTTCTCTCTCTCTCTCTCTCTTTTCTTTCTGTCTTGCTCTGAACAAGGGTAAACAAAAGTCAAGGCAAACTCAATGGGGAAGACAGAGCTGGCATTAGTGACACAGCAGACACGCAGGCAGTGTGCAACACACACACACACACACACACACACACACACACACACACACACACACACACACACACACACACACACACACACACACACACACACACACGTGAACAGCAGTGCTTCAGCAGATGCCACACACATGCAACACAGACAGTATGTCCTGTGTCTACTTCCTGTTTTCCACTAAAAGGTCCCATCAAAGCTCAATTCATGTGTGCAGGAGTTGACTACTCAGCCTGGGCAGGAAAGCCTGCTCAAAGATTGACAGCTTGGCCCTTCAAGGAATAAGGAATAGCTAAAGTAATAGGGGAAAGGCAAAAGGTAATAGCATTTTTAAAAAATCCTTTTATATATTTCTCTTTATATTTTTATATTTTTCTCTTTTTCCCATTTTTTAATTTACTTATTTATTCCTTTATATATTCCTGCTTATATTTATTTATTTTCTTATTCCTATATTTCTTTTTTATGGCACTCCTATGACTCCATAAGTTCAGATTGTTCAGATTGTTCTCATACTCAAATATTAAATATAGTTGGAGAAATTATAGTGAGTGTAGATGTTTTTTTAATGTCATCTCTGTATTGATAGTTCACCTGGTAAGATATATATGGTTTTATGGTTGAATGGTGGTTCACTATTATTTGTAAGAAGTTCTATTTGTATTCACACCAATTATGTTCAGTGAAACACTGTTAGAGAGGCAAACAGTAAATGTTCCTGTGATGCTGAATTCTTTAGAGGAAACAACAACAACTACAATAACACAATGACAGCCTACACAGATATTTTACTACGTTTTATCTTAAAAAAAACACATTTTGCCAAATGCTTCTAAGAAGAACTATTTCATCACGTGGTTTTAAAACAACAACAACATTACTAACGTTTTAGTGGTGACGTCAGAACGCACGGTACGGTTCCCTACGCTGCTGACGTGTAGGTAGGGAAGTGGCTGTCGGCCGTGTTTAGCCTACAGCATTTAGCTCTTCCTGTTCATCACCGGCCCTCGTCATTGACAGCTCACTGCCAAGTCATCTGAGTCAGCCCCGAGCTACCTAACAAACAGGAACACTACACTAACAGGTACACAGGTAGGAGACTTCTCATAAATCTCCGTCAGGAGCTAGCAGGCTAGCATGCTAACAGGCGGCAGTGGTACCTGTTAGTGTTACAGCTAGCTACACATACCAGCTGTACTCAGCGGTTTCCTCACATTCCTGCTGATAACATAGCGGTTCTATCTCCTGTGTAGCCCGCGGTGCTGGTGGAGGAGCAGAGGGAAGAGGCGGACATCAGGAGACACTGACCAGCCGTCAGTCCCACGGTCAGTGCTGTTAAACTGAGCACTCAGTGAAAACCACAGCAGCTCATCACAATCATATCACACACATCATTTCAGCCTGAGACAGGCTGAGGCTATGTCTCCTCATGCTGAATATACCTTACATGCTGCTGTCTGTCACTGAGACGTGTACAGCAGCTTACTGTGCATATATGATGGAGGCAGCTGCTGGAGGCGGGGAGTTTAACCAGACCTACAGCTGCCAAACCAGTCACTCCAGGTACGGTCACTTCAGCAGAAGTGACCTGGAGCTTATACCGGAAATGTTAAGGCCTATCGTGGACCGCTAGATCAGCTTATGGCTCATTACTGTATTTATGGAGATTAGTAACCTGTATGAAATACATATATACCTCGTTAAAGTTCCCTCAACAGGTTCTGTGATCCAGCGTTTGATCATATCCCTCATATAAATTGATAGAAAAATGAGACTGTTTGTTTAGTTGGCTCTTTATTTCTGTTATCGATTGGTCAGACTGGCTACGGTGGCTAGGCTAACTACAGCCATGTTAGCGCAGGCTAGCTCCAGTGTTCATTTTATTTATGAAATTGTGAACACCTCAACATATTTGTTTTGGGGACATCTGTTAAACAAAGCACCGCCAACACGTTATATATATATTATAAAGATAGAACTGAGTTATAATCAGCGCTAACTAGTTGATATTAGTCAAACTCAGCATCATTGATTTCCTCGACAGGTCCCGTCATCATGTTCCTGTGGTTGAGATTAGCTGCATTAATAATGACTTAACACTGGGTATAAAACATGCATGGAAACAGCTGTAGGACTTCATTCATTACATTCATGTCTTTGGTATGTTTGTATCAGTACTTTGCAGTCACAGGAATCCAGCACCAGGTCTGCATCCACCTGATGTGATGTCATCAGTCCACCCGGACAGCCGTGTGTTTAAACCTGGATGTCACAGTTAAACTAAAAACACTGTTTTCCACAGGTGGAGTTAAAGACAGCAGCTTTATGAAGAAGTGTGAGTGACTTGCACAGCAACAATGGGGAAGAGGAGGGTCCCAGATCTGTACCGAGCCCCCTTTCCTTTATACTCCATTAAAGTGGACAGTAAAACGGGGCTGGTGATCACAGCAGGAGGAGGAGGGGCCTCCAAGACAGGCATCAAGAATGCTGTGGTGAGTACTGACCATCGCCTGTTTTAATACACCACTACAGTGGCCCTGAAGAAAACACACACACACACACACACACACACACACACACACACACACACACACACACACACACACACACACACACACACACAGACACGTAGACAAAACACAAGAACATGAAGAAAACAGCTTCAAGAACATAACAACACATCATGTGTTTGGTTGTGTTGTGTGTTTTGGTTTTGTTTCCTCCTGTATTTAGATTTCTTCACTCTATTTGCTTGTGTTGTGTGTTATTACATGCGTTTTTATGAGCTGCAGTGTGCTGACCTTTCAGAGCCACCATAGATACAGCAGAATAGGATATAATACCATTACGTACTGTGAGTTTGTTGCTAAAGAAACACGTAGTTAGGGAGGCAGTCTTCTTCTTTCAGTTTCATGTATGAATGGAGATCTGGATCCCAGACCTCATGAGAAGCAGTAGAAGACTAATGACTGTGTGTTTTCAGCACTTCCTGGATCTACAGCTGGTTGGAGAACACCAGTACAGCGCCACCCTCCTTCACTCTCATGACACGGACACACGTGCCACCATGAACATGGCTGTGGGCGATGGTGTACTTGCTGCAGGACAGGACGGGACCTGCTGTCTGATGAGGTTTCAGCACAGTGCAGAGAAAGAACGAGGCAAAGCTGCTGCTAAAGATGGTGAGGCTAACTGCTCCATCTGCTCTCATCAAAACATGGGCTGCATGTAACACACTCATTGATGTGTAGCTGACTCATTTATCGATTGCATGTGTCCGCCTTCATTTACTTAGACATAATAATGAAGTGATGATGAAGTATGAAGTATCTGATTTTATGAAAAAGCAGTGGGCTAATTAGATTATTGCAGTAGCAAACAGTAATATTCAGTGTTGTGAAGTGTATACAACAGAACTACGCCCCTGGAGAAGCTGTAGGAACGATGTCCACATATTAAAACTGTGGCTAAGACTGGGACTTGTTAGTAGTTATGGTTGGCGTTTTCAACATGTTCAGTGGTCTATAATGTGTATGGACACATATTCAGGTTATCCCTTTATTTTTAAGGTTAAGGGAGACCTTGTTGTTGTTCTACTTGTTGTTGTTCTTCTTCTACTCCTCCCCTACTTCTTCTTCTCCTTCTTCTTCTTCCTACTCGTCCTCCTTCCTACTCCTCCTTCTTCTTCTTCCCCCTCCTGCTCCTCCTTCTCCTTCTTCTTCTTCTTCTTCTTCTTCTTCTTCTTCTTCTTCTTCTTCTTCTCCTTCTTCTCCATCTTCTTCTCCTCCTCATCCTCCTCTGTCTTCGTCGGTGATTCAGACACTAGTAAATCTGTGTTAAGCTCCAACACAGGACAGGAGCTGATGAAGCAGTGACACTGTAACAGCTTCATTAGAGGGAACTCAGCAGCTGAAATGAAGAGTTACAGTATTATACAAGTTATTGATTATCAGAATATCACAGAATATCAGTGCTGTGGGTCCTTTTGTGAAACTTTATTTAAACCTTAGTGCACAGGACAGAACTGTAGGAGCCTGATGCAAATGTAAATGTGTTATAACACTGTCATAACAACTGTTATACAACAGATGTGTAATGATTCATTTGTGCACACGCAGGAAGGAGCAGCGTGCAGCAGGGCAGCACCAGGAGACGAGCTGGGAAAGGAGACAGAGGGGGACAGGATGGAGCTGCAGCCTCTGGAGATAAGTCAGAGCTGAAGGATGAGACGGCTCAAATCTCTGTCACCGGTTTGGCTGAAGTGCAGTCGGACCTGAACCCTCAGGACCCGCTCCAGAAGGTGGTCCGGTTCAGTCCTGACCTGAGCCTCCTGCTGACAGGAGGCACAGATGGACACGTCCGAGTCTGGGAGGTAAACACTGTCAGGTTGTAATTTTCACTTTCACAGTGTTCCCACAGCGACTGAGTCTGATTCAGCTGGGAGGTCAGGACCTCTGAGTATGGACGTCAGGTGGACATTGACATGTGATCCAGCTGGAGGAAACACTCCTTATTGTGCTTTGTCCTTCAGTTTTCCCATCAAAGCCCCACCTACTGAATAAAAGATAAGATTATAAATCCATCAGCAACACATTTTAATTATTGATTAATATTTGAAGTAGTTTACCTGCACAAATGAGCTGCTTACAGCTGTTCACATGTAAAAACTCTGTTCAGTTCGGCTGCTGTAGCTCCTCCACTAAGAGGTTTGAGGTCATTAATATTATTTCTTCTGGATTATAGAAACATTTTCCTTTCATCATTTATTATCTTTGATCATTTTAAATGAAAATTTGGAGTGGTGACTGTTTCTGAGAAGTGCACAGTCATGCACAAAAGGAAATCTGTCATTTTACTAAAAAACTAAATTACTGAGTTGTGGAGACTTGATGACTGTGTTGAAAGTTTTAAACCAGTCCACTTTATCCCGAACTGGTTATTAAGAGGTGGAGATGAAGGTGGAGACACAAACCTTTCACAGACTGACTGAGCTGCTGCAGTGGAACTGACTGCACCAGACGGAAGAATGAAGGTCAGGGTCTAAAAAACTGAGGTCGGGTTTATTGGACTGTGCTGTGAGATCACATTATCATGATGGGATACTCTAAATGGGAACTCTAAAAAGACAAAGATGACATGTCTTTATCAGTCTGATGTCCTTTGATGTTGTTGTTTACCTTGTTTACCTGGTTGTTGTTGTTGTCGTTGACTCTTCTCAGTTTCCCTCCCTGAAGAAGAAGTTTGACTTCAGAGCTCATGAGGGGGAGATCGAGGACCTGGACCTGAGTCCAGGGAAAAAGGTGACAACCTGACCTCTCCTGTGGTGTGGATGTTTACTGTCGGCTCAGGGTAATGACGGATGCTGTGTATTGATCCACTGGTAATGATCAATATGCTGTGTTGTCGTGCAGCACCTGGTGACTGTTGGCCGGGACTTTGCCTGCAGTGTGTGGAGCGGCGACCAGCTGGCTGTGAGTCTGAAGTGGAATGAGACTGTGCCTCAGATGGATGAGAAGACGTATCGATACATGGCCTGCAGGTCTCTTCTTCTTCTTCTGTGACTCATCATATCCATGTGGTTTCATTTGACAGTCACTCATGGTCAGTCAGTACATGGTGATACTTTGATATGTTTCAGGTTTGGAAAGGTAGAGGACCAGAAAGACGCCCTGAGGCTCTACACAGTCCAGATCCCCCACAAAAGAGACAGAAGACCTCCTCCGTGTTACCTCACCAAGTGGGACGGCAAGAGCTTCCTGCCCATGCTGACGGCTCCCTGTGGCACTGAGGTCATCTCCAGCCTGGCTGTCAGGTGACTGAGGGCTCCAGATTACAACATACAGAACTTTCATTCAAAAACACATAATTATATTAGTAATAGAAATAGTATAGTGTATTTTCTTAATCTGTTTATTAGGTTTAGCAATGTTTCCAACATGACACGAACAACCGTACTCGAGTATTCCCTCCCGTCCCCGTAGCAGAGATGAGCGAGAAGCAGCTGAGACATCAAGAGATCATCAAAAACAAAACAGACGATGGAGTAGTTCAGAGTTCAGAAACACTCCAATCAGCAATATGTAAGATCCCTGTATGTCGCACAGATGGTGTGGTCAGATCGAACACAAAAGAGTGTGAGGATGATGTGTATAGAGTTCAAACACCATCAGGTAGAAGCTGAATTAGACCTGAGCCCTGGTCAACATATGAAGTACTGTGTCCCAGTTAAAGGCGGGTGCTCATGTCATTGAGCTACAAGGTCACACGAGAACATCACGTTTTGACGAGATAAGGCGTTTAACCCTGTCACTCCCCCAAGCCCGTGCCTTTACAATAACAACAGGGTTCCTACACTAGAAAAACATCCCAGCATGTGTTTGTATCTATGTGATAAATCCACTGTAAGTGCATATGAAGGAATCTATCTTTTGATATTACCATCCTTTGGAACGACTGTTCAGGTCTTAACATAGTCCAGAGAAGGTGTCCCATGTTTTTCCAAAGTTCCTCAGTGAACCTGTCAGAGAAAATCTAATCTCCTCTAGCTTAATCTGATATAAAAATAAAACATCTGTTATGGGTAGGTGGAGACACATGTTTCCATCTAAAAAGTATGAGGCATCTAGCTAAGAGAGAGGTCAAAGAGATCATTCGCTTAAGGTACAGAGGAGTGTTGTTGCTGGGGGGGATCAGGTGGAACGTCCATACCAGATATTTCCCTGAAGGATTTAAAAAAAAGTTAGTTCAATTCAGTGCCCAGAATTTAAACTAGCAGGAATATATCTGTACACGTAATATACAAAGATAAAGAAACCTTTAAACTCTTGGTTTACACGGTGTCTCAGCTGAGTGAAGCAGGTGACTGTGTGGAAGGTAAATCAGCCTGTTGAGGACAAACTTATGGATGTCCTGTTGTGTAAGATGTAACTTTGTCTCTGACAGTGACTCCGGGACGTTTCTCGGTCTTGGGACTGTAACAGGTTCAGTAGCGATCTACATTGCCTTCTCCCTGCAGGTAAAGACACTGAACACACACGTCTCTGACAGTCGGCCTGCTGTGTGATGTAACCTGCTCCTCCTCTCTCTGTAGAAACTGTATTATGTCCAGGAGTCTCACGGCATCGTGGTGACAGACCTGGCCTTCCTGCCCGACTCTCTGAGAGGCAGAAACATCAAAGGGAATAATGAAACAGCCATGTTGAGTGTCGCTGTGGACAGCCGCTGTCAAGTCCACGCTGTCTCCAACCGCAGTAAGTCCTGCATCATCATCATCATCATCACCACCACCACCGCCGCCCAGTGAACACACAGAGACCATGAGTCAGACCCTCAGACCCCTCTCACCTTGTCTTGTGTCCTCCAGGGTCCTTCCCCATCTGGCTGGTGCTGTTCTGCTGTGGCCTCATCGTCGTGGGGGTGGTCCTCCTCCTCCAGTACCTCTTCCCAGGATTCATCTGAATCCGGCTTGATGGAGCACGGACACACCTCCACGTTGCTGACTCTGTCAACATCAGCAGTCCTCAGTCCAACATCCAACCATCCACTGCAGAACTATGAGTCCCAGCTGAGCCTGGAGGCTCTCCACCTGCAGCTGTCATGGCGTCCTCGTCCCCCCCTCAGCTCCTACTCAGGGTTGTTCTCTCTCAGACCTGTGAACCCAGTGGACTCAGACCAGCACAGACTGGGATTTTACTCTATCAGTTAATCTTAATCTTTTCTGGATTCATGTTGGAGAGTTGAAGGACTCATGAATGTTTAAGGGCGGGATCTTTTTATTGACATATTTAAGGAACAGTATACAAATATAAATGATGGGCACATAATGTGTCTGACTTAGTTTTTCCTTCACACAGACACTTTGAATTAGTCTCCAATTTTATGTGTTTCCCATTTTATCCACTAGTGGGCAGCAGAGATCACACAGTCCTGAGGTGAAGAGAAATTTGTGTCAGTACAGAAAACACCAGAAACATTTCTGCAGTTCAACAGCCTCTAAAATAATTTCATATTAATTTAAAAACAAACGTGGGTAAAGCTGCTCTGAGCAGACGAGAAGCAGAGTCAGTAAACATCTGTAAACATCTGTAACGGTGATGAAAGCTGGATGTTCTCTCTGTTATGAAGACCTGTTCGTTTTCAGATAAACTCTCTGGCTGCCCAAAAATGTGAATGACTTTTTAAAATGATCCCTGTCATTGTAACTAACCTGGTGAAATGATGGAAGAAATAAAATATCAATAAGAAAGATAGATGATAAAAAAACACCTGGTCTGTTCATGATTCCTGATCTGTGGTGACGGAGCTGATGTCAGACTCCCACTCCTCCCACCGCCCACACTCCACATGTGAATGTTACACATTGGAGAGGAAGTTCTTTTTCATCTGTATAAATGCCTGTGGGGGTGGGGGGGGGGCTTTCAGGGCTTGCTTACACATCTAACAAATATCTAGTTTACAGTTCTTCATTCGTCTAGATATTTTAAAAACCAAAAGACCAGTTTGAAGAGTGAATAACTCAAAACAGCTGAACTGATCATGTTCTCTGAACTCTGGATATTTCAGTCATCATCTCTCCTGTCGTTTACATCAGGTCACATGACACCTGCTCTGACATTCTGTGGGTACAGAGAAGCTCGGTGTAACAAACCACAGTGAGTCCATGACCTCACAGGAGAGAGACTTCTCATTGTTATACTGACAGAGTGAAATCACTGTCCCAGTTTTATTTCATAGCCGTTACCACTCAAAGTGCTTTACAGTAATTTTTTTTAATACATATTCACCCAAACGTTAATACACAGTTTGGGGTTCATATCTTACACAAGGACACTTCAACACATAGACTGGAGGAGCCTTGGATTGAACCACCGACCTCAGAAGACGACCTGCTCTACCTCCTCAGTCGCAGTCACATGGAAGGACAGATGTTGACCACTGGATGTGATGGAAGATCCTGAACCAACTGGACTATACCTCCACAGAAATCAATTGCTTTAACCATCAGGATGTGTTGCTGCTTCACAAAGTAAACACGAACACGTGAACACAACGCCTGATGATTCAACTCACTGTTGTACCTCTGTTGCCCAGCAGGTGGCGCCACATGTCTGCTGAATGTACAGCAGTGAGCTGTGAGGTTGTAATGAGATTGCTGTGTTGATTTAACCTACATTTGGTTCAATAGCAGCTCACCCAGGTCCATTGGACCAGTTCTGGTTGGACTCAAGAGTCCAGGACATAAAGAGGGTCTCTCAGAGTCCTGGTGCTTTAACCTCTGAGGAGGAACCTTCCCCTTCATCATCATTTCACTCTTCTAGATATAGAGAAGCAAATACACATTTAATAAATACACAGGTAGAAAGACGCAGTAGCAAACCGTGCACTGAAAATGAATGACAGTCTATAAAAAGTAGCAGATATGATATGGGCTGTGATGTGATATTTCACCTGTCATCCTCAAACAGTGGATATTTGGGACAGTGTGGATGAAGATGTTTTGTGTGTGTGTGTGTGTGTGTTTGTGTGTGTGTGTGTGTGTGTGTGTGTGTGTGTGTGTGTGTGTGTGTGTGTGTGTGTGTGTGTGAGAGAGTGTGTGTGTGTGTGAGTGTGTGTGTGTGTGAGTGTGTGTGAGTGTGTGAGTGTGTGAGAACACCTGACCACTGGCCCAGACATAGAGTGACGTCACTACAGCTCAGCTCCTGTGTGTGTGTTCTGTACATACAGGTGGACTCCACCTGTCACCAAACTGTGAAGCAGTATCCAGACATTCAACATATACACCCCCGGCCCGAGTCAGCCCCCGTCATCCTCCGTCAGCCGTGGAGGGAAACTTCACACCTTCTCCTCAGTCTTCAGACCGGTCAGTGAGTCAAGTGTCAGGAAAGAGAGGTATGAACATGTCTGTCCCTCTCAGACACTAACTCTGTCACAGTTGGCATGGCAACACAGATAGTGGAGGTCACCAGGACGACTGGCTGTGCACAGATGGATATGTAGAATTAGACCATTAAAACTCTGGTTGTAGGGTTCAGAGGGACCCAGCAGTCGAGTTCAGACGCTCCACTACAGCAGAATATAAACTGAACATGACGGGGGCCCTGATGTCAGAGGGGCCCTGTGTCACAGTTTTAGACTATTCATTATTTCAGCTCACATGTGTAAAAATCCTCAGTTCAGACTTCACCAACCAGTGTGAGAGGAAAACCACAGACCAACTGCTTTATAAGATAACTTCTATCAAAAGAAATGAACAAATAAGCTGAAACAAGGCTGAAGCCTGGGGAGTTCGAGTCAGTTGAATAAAGGGGGAACAGGTCATCAGTGCTCAACTTCTTTCCTGCATTTGGTGAAGCCAGAAACCATCACACCAAGGACTGGTGTGCTGTTGCCACCAGGAGCAGCTCTGGGCTGGGTGGGGGTTTGGGCATAGTGGTTACACTCAATATTGCAGGATTATATGACTCAGTGGACCCAGGGTTAAAATTTCGTGGGGGGTTGGGGCTGCTTCTGACCCTCCTGGTTAAGACTTGGATCCCCCCAAAATAGGTAAAAACAACCATTTGGAGGGGTTGAAACATTTATATATCCTTCTTACCTGTAATTGTAAATATTACAATATATTTCCCCTATTCATGCCTGGAATAATCTTGTGATACGATTTCACCCCTATGGTGGACCGTACCATTTCCAACGTCTTATCTGCCTCACTCAGTCAGTGGCAAGTCTCTGCTCCTGTGTGTCGCACAAGCAGATTGAGACACTAAGTAATCAGATAATATCAGAAAAACCAAACCCATGTGTCGGCTGAGCTCCTGCTCACAGTGCTGCTGTTCAGAGGTGTGAGGTAGACATCATGAAGCATGTTTCCACTATAAATGCCCCTCTGATGGTGCTGGGTTAGTGAAGATCAAGCTTTTCAAATGAGAGAGAGAAACCTTCTTTCTCTCAGATGAAACGTGTCCTGGGGTCAGAAGCTAATAAAATACCATAAGCCTTTTAAAGGCAGTGCAGTTCAGTGAGCGTCGAGGATAATATGAACCAGACAACAGGGCAGACGTCAGCTGCAGCAGCACTGTCAGACTCTATCAGCTCCTCAGTGCATAACACAGGAAACACTGAAACACTGATGATCACTGTTGTCATGACGCTGGCAGATGAAGGTGTTTCTCCACCTGTAACAGGACAAGGCTTTTAAAACCTGAACCTGAAGTTTGTCGTCATTTGATGGAGTCTCCAACAAGAAATAGCAACTGACTCTGGTCTGCATGAAGTGACTCAGTGATCCTGGGGAGAACTGGGGACGATGTGGTTATATGGAATTTGCCGTGACGTTGGGTCACATTGTGTTGAACAACGCTACTGTTGCTGTTGTCGTGCTGTGGTCCATCCTGGACAGTAACGTGTTATAACAGTGACCCGTGAGGACACGCTCAGTCTGTTTTAACAAGTGACAGAAGAGAAATAAACCACACTCATGTTAGTTATACACTAGGAAACAAACACTTAACCTTTTAAACACATTAAATTGAGCTTCTCAGTGTCAGCAGGTGTTAGCAATATTTAAAACCATACAGAGCCGCAGGGATGACGTATTGTTGTGGTCCAACCCTGAAGTTAGCATCACCCTGAATCCCGCCGCTAAAAGCCAATGGGATTTTTCCATTGTTTTTTCTATATCTTTACTGTCTTTTTTTAATAGGTGTAAAAGCTTAAAGAAATCAGGACTGGACTATTTACTGACGTCTTTTATGACGTAGAATAAAACAAAAATGTCTTGAGCTTGTGTTAACCACAGACCTTATTTCAGACAAAAAACACATTCAAAAAACCAGACTTCAGGACCAGGGAACAGGAAATGCTAAAATGCAACTAATTTCCAGGTTTTGGGACTCATTCCTGCAGAACTCTATAGTTCAACATTTGGGGGATATGCTGATTGATTTTATGTTATCACAAATGTCATGAGAAGTTTGATACCACTGCATGTGTGTGTGTTCAGTACAGAGCTGGAGTCAGGACTTGGTTAACCTACCTTAGAATGAGGACTGGAAGCAGCAGCTGGCCTGGCTCAGTCCAGAGTTTAGAGTTAACCAACACCTCTACAGCTCAGTGATGAACATGCTGGGTCTTGTTTGTACTGAAGTGCTGGGTCCATAATGGAGAAGGTTGATCCTCTGGAGAGCATGAATGTGCCTGATGGATCTCATGTGACCTGCATCTTGTTGTGGCACTGAAGGAAAGGTCAAGGGTCACTGGAAACATCTGGACAGATCCTCTGGGGACCACGAATATCTGTGATCCACAGTCATGAGTCAACGAGATAAGTTGTTGATTAAGGTAAATATGACACACGTGTCTGCTGAGGACTGTGATCTGTCAGTTTACAACATGAAAATCACTTCAGCATGTGGTGCTGAACCAGTAACTGACTTCAGTTTGTTCTGGTTGGTGTTAGTCTGATGATCTACACCGCCTCATTCACAACATAGTGACTGTGTTAAAAACAAATGTTGCTTTTATCAGAGGAGTTTGAAGCTCCGCCTCCACAGCTGACTGATGACAGAGGGAGAAGAAGAAGGTTTAGGTTTAAACATGCTGAAGCAATAATAATCTCTAATGTCTTCCATCTCCCATAAAGAACTGGACCTGGTGCCACTCTGGCTAACCCCCCCCCCCCCCCCCCCCCCCCCCCCCCCCCCCCCCTACCATCCCACCACTTTATACAGCAGCTCCCACACTCACTGAATCCTCTCAGAGTGGTGTCTCATTCTCACATGATGAGAATGAAGAACACCCAGCAATACCTGGGACCTGTTAGTCCTCCTCCGTGTGGTCTGACAGGGAACAGGAAAATGTCGGGTATCAGCTTGAGATGGACTGTGTGTTTGATGCTTCAGTCAATCACAGTCCAGCTGTGCCCAGATGTTCCAACCAGCTCTCAGCTCTAACTCATACTGTGACTCTTCATCGTGCTCTTCCTGTTTGTTTCATACGGAGCGGTGCTTCAGCAGTTACAATATTATTGTAAAATATAAATAATCATTATATAAAATAAATATAATATAAATAATAAAGAGTTTAAAATTTTACTGATCACTTTTAAAGCACTCTGGGACCTAAACAGAAGTGTTAACCCCGTATGAGCCACCTTGGCCCTTGTGGCCGTTCCAGAGTCGAGGCTTGAATCTAAAGGTGACCGTGCTTTTGCCATCAGGACCCTCAACTTTGGAACGACCTGCTGGAGGAGATGA